AAATGTTTTTGTAAAATTACAACTGTTTTCTAAGGGACGCAATATCATTTTACGGAACTGTGAAATTGCCAAATTGTTAACTGGTATCTTTCGCTTCAATACAAACATTTCCACCACCATATATTACGCATCTTCAAAGTCAGTAGTGCGTGCTTGTTTGCGGTGAATGAAGTACATCAATGAATAAAATATGTTATAATTATTATATTAGAAAAGACAATTTACTCAAGACCTTTACAAAGGGATATAAAATAAGTTTCATTATATTCCAAAATATTTATCGAGTTTGGTTATTTTTTTGTGTCAAATGACAAATGTTAAATGAAATGAACATTTTGGAGGGACATTGTAGTATACCTTACTTAGACCATGGGTTCTGAAACATTTGGTGTTATAGTGCCCTGAACAGGTTGACCATTATCTTAAAGCCCCACAATAAATTTATAAAAATAAAAATATTCTATTGGAATCTATAGATAATGTCATATTTGAATTACCGCCCTGTAGCCACATTTCAAACTACTATTGCCAAATTTGTTAATGCTGTTATTGCTTCTTTGGACAGTTACAAAATTAGCCAAGGCGGTATTTTAATAAGTAAACAAATAGCTATTAGAGTCCCTAGGTTTCTCTCGTGGGGCCCTGGGGCTTCGTATGGAGCACTTGAAAAACCTATGCCTTAGAGATAAAGGATGCAATTTCCACATATTTACGTCACACCTTGTGGCAAACAAAAGAACCTTGGGACAGACGCATTAATATGTACGGAGCCATTACTCAATCACTTTATCAAGTTCCCTAAATGTAACTTATTAAATTATATTTATATAGATCACTCAAGTAATTTGCGTTTTAATTTTGGTAAATGAATTTAATTTTAGCAATTCCCAGACCTAAAAATAAACCAATCTGGTTGCTCACCGCTATACAAATGTGTTCTAACCAAATAAATAGTCGAATGTGTGGTTAGAAAAATACAGAATTTTTGCAATCTATTTTGATTTTTTTTTATTTCCTGGTATTATAATATTGATGAAAGTGGTATATTTCCATATCCTTTTACAACAAAAATACATTTCACTGAGGTTGCGCGAGGTCATTGACGAACGTGATGACGTCACTTGCGCTATTATTATCACGCTAAAAAGTGAAACAAATATCTGATCAGGATTTCATAGTTGTTCCCAAGGGTACTAACTTATAATGAAAACTCATTTAAACCTTTTTATGTTTGTTTGCTGAATTTTATCTACCAGTTTATCCATGTACCAAATTACGTACGCGATTTGTCTTTTTGAAGAAGCAATCTTCACTCCAAAGAATGCTTGTGTAAGTCACCGATACGCACGAAGATATATTTTATAAAAATGTTTTGAATATTCCTATCATCATCTTCCTAACTATGGGCGTTTGTAAAGAGCCTTGTAAGAAGCCATAGAGTGAAATCGTATTGCATCTTCCTCTCCGAATGACTAAAATTATTTTGCTAATTTCCATATTTGTTTACAAACTGAGTTACGCGAAGGCCAAGCAAATCTAATAATGTTGATTTTCAAATATGTAGATTGAAAATGTCCTTAAACTAACACACTATTGTACCAACGTCGGTATCCAAAAAATTGGTGAGTATCAATGCATTGTGTCACCCACAAATAACAATTCAAAAAAAAATGTAACACATAAGTTATGGCATTGTGTTCAATGTTTTTCATTTTCTATTCATAATTTTTTTTATCGTAATTAGTATATTTGAGGTTCGTGTCGTGTTGGCAAATCTAAATGTTTTGTGAAAATGAACTACAACTCGGGAAATTTCATCGCCGTTTCACTCATGCGCGGCAACGCGAATTTTATCAAAATATGAGATCTCGTTTCGGTACTTTTTATGCCCCCATCTGATCGATGCAAGTTTGCAAAATGCAAATATCTTTAACCTTCCCAATTTTAAACAACTGATCATTGTATCTGTTCGACATGTCCCAACTTCTATCGTGCTCAACATTTTCACGTTTTAAATATACTTGCTTTCCAAAACGATTTCAAAATTTTTGCATTTAAAAAATTATTTGATTTTGTGGTAATATGTAGAATTTTTTATCCATAACGGTAATAAATGATAAGTAAATCCAAGATTCAGCTTGAATATAACACAAATACAAACTTAATTGTTATCAAAATTATTTAATAGATTCTTCATCTTAAAACGTTGAAGTCGAAAGTTGCCGGGTTAAACTGTAAACACATAATCAGAAAGATTACGTTTTTCATAAATAGTACTTGATTCTTGTGTATATCGATTGCTTTTTCTTATTGGCATATTTTGGATTGAATATGCGTAACCATAACATAACAAATATTGGAATTATAAATGACGAAAGCCATGCATGTCCTCAGCGATATTTTATAGCTTTCGGATTATTTTCCTTTTTTTACATTGAAGTTTACAATTTATATACTTCACGCACTGCAAAATAGCATTTAATAGAACATGTCTTCATTGTCGAAAGTATAGTTATGGCTACATGTAAGTGAATGAGAACTATAGTAGACAGTGTTCTCAAATCCAAAATCCTGTAAAGTTATGTTGTTTTGTTATCACAATATACCATGTTAGCACTTCTAATCTATATGAGCAACGCCCTTTTTTGCGTGGCACATTCGATTTTTTTCTACAAACATAAAAACGTACAATTGTAATTTATAGAAAAAAAAAAAAAAAAAGTAATAAATGAATATCAATTGACTTTTTGTTGAGTTGTTGTATACAGGTGTATGCTAAAAAAATCGTCACGAGATAAAACTTATTTGAGCGCTTATCGGGGGCATTATGGGGGCTTTCGGCTAGATTCTGGGTATATATTAACGGCGAAAGTATACTCATTGGAACATTCGAATGCAATATCAATAGACTGACTATTCGTTGATAGGTTGTATACAGGTTTGTTATACATCCTTGATAAAAAAAATAGTCACGAGATAGAATCTATTTGAGCGCCTATCGGGGGCAATTTGGGGACTTCCGGCAATATGTTGAGTATATATATAACAGCGAAAGTATACTCATTCGAACATTCGAATGCATTATCAATAGACTGACTATTCGTTGATAGGTTGTATACAGGTTTGTTATACATCCTTGATAAAAAATAGTAACGAGATAGAATCTATTTGAGCGCATATCGGGGGCAATTTGGGGACTTCCGGCAATATGTTAAGTATATATATAACAGCGAAAGTATACTCATTCGAACATTCGAATGCATTATCAATAGACTATTCGTTGTTAGGTTGTATACAGTTATATTATACATTCCTTGATCAAACATAGTTACGAGAGAGAATCTATTTGAGCGCTTATCGGGATTATTTTGGGGGCTTTCGACAATATTTTGGGTATATATAATGGCGAAAGTACGCATCATTCGAATATTTTGCAGAGCAACTTGACTTTTCGAAAAACTAGCAAATTTCAATATATGTGCAGTAACACCGCGAAATAATAAGCTTTTGTACTAGAATTAACTGGATATGAAAGTTAGAACGTAAACTACTTAGTTTTATAATTCTGACAAACAAGCGTATTTTTCGTCTTAGCTATCGGATACCTTCGCCGCGAAAGGAAAATGGGTAACATAACACAATGATTGCATATGTACATCGAAATTGGTAATCCTGAAATTAAGAAACCGAATTCTCAAATAAAAACCGTTGCTAGTTTTGTGAGTAATAATAACTGAAAGTAATAAAAGTTTCGAAAGTATTTAATGTCATTTAGCAACGGACCCTTATTTATTTGTTTTCAAATTTCCATGCTCAACCAAACGAGATAAATCAGGGACTGAAAATATGAAATTACGTGCCAAACCCATTGAGTAACTAACAATTATTTGTAGCTTGGATTGGCAGTTAGCCCGATGTTTGTATGTACAATTAAAGCGACTAATATTTGTTACATCATCACTTGAATTTTACAGTTTTCCGGATTGGATACCGCGCAATTGTGTAACAAATAGTTAACGACTTGGTTTCTATTGAACTGTTATACAGTTCTTTTTTATACCAAGAAAAGAAATTGTTTATATTTCCAGCTAAAATATTCAATCTCATAATGTTTATACGAAAGTTTCGACAAAACATAAATAAACCTGTTCTGAAAGTAACGACCTTTAGCGAATATATATCAGGTGACTAACTGATGTTTTCGGTAAATCATAAGCTCGACAAAGATGAGATCACGTGACAAAACAAGTCGACCATAAAATTAGAACAAAAGTCAAAAGCGGATTTACGCAATGGTTTGGAAAATTGACATAACGTACACATAATATGGCCTTATAGAATTCGTTCTGCTAGAATAAACAGTTACATTCAATAATTGTGAAATATTGATTCTATTTACTATGTATTGATAATATATATAAATTATTAACCCTACATTATTGGAAAATTGTTAGTAATATCGCTATGTTAAATATAGACGTTAGGATGATACAGAAAGTATATTCAGCGCTTGTGTTTGACATTTATTTGATGTAACATTATTATAACCATTCTAACATTTGTGATTAGATTATCACTTTGATGTCAGAATGGAAAAATACTGTTACGCCATTACGTTTTTGGTAATCTCAGCTTCATTCGCCATTTTGTTCTTCAAGCAATAATCCGTTGAAGATCCTGCTTAGCGCAATGTCACGTAACGAAAAAAATTCGTTGTTCATCCGATAAGCGCTTCAAGTTTTCCTTCGCTATTTTACTTTATAGTAAGTTGTGTTGTAAATTGTATTTAGGGCTGCTGTATTTGATGTAGAGTACCAATTATAAACAAAAAAATAGCATTTACATTCAGAACTAGTTATAAATACCGATACTCGCAATTGTAAAATTCAATTCAATTTTATGATTATTTGAAACTATTTCTACTTCAAAATGAATTTATTAACCGAAAAATATTATTCGTTCTCAATTTTAGAGATAATCTAATTATAAAAATCAGACAAAATGGTTTTTGAACTACAAACTGGAAAAGTTATTTTTCTGGCCGTATTGCTCGCTTTGTTAGGACAATTCTGTACGGTGAGAGGCAATGTATATGATGAAAATTATGAAAGTTTAACAAATGGAGGTGAACAAGGTCTGTATAATATTCTCATAAATAAAGTTTGTTCCTTGGTAATATATTGCATAGACGTATATGTATATATATTATATGTGGACACTTTTTTGCAAATTCTGACTTCTTACATTTGTTACTGAATGAGAGAAAATTTTGAAATATCATATATATGAAAGCAAAATATTTATACCATTATGTGGATATAGCTAAAATATATTTCTATAATTTCAGAAATTAACGAAGAAAAAAATTCCGCATTTGAGGAAGAAATATATCCTGAAGACGAAACCGAGCAATATTTTGTCATTGATCGGATGTCGAATTTTGCTGAAAAGGTAAGTTGTTTTTGAATGAGTTAGAGTTGCAAAATCTCCATTTTTATTTGTTCTATTTATCTCCCCAATTTGAATATAATAAAATAAGATAAAGTAAATCGTCATGCACAACATATAAAATTTTAAGTAGATCATATCAAATTTTGCAACATTTCATGATTTCCACAAATTTAAACTTTAAATCAGATTAAATTTAAAATCCACCACGTCCTAATTTTATAGGTATGTCTTTGAATAGTATAGTTGATATATATGTTAATGTTTATGCATGATATAAATTGTTTAAAGACACTTGTGGAAAACTTTGAGCTTGAAATTTTCAATCTGAATAGAAAAAATATCAATTTAGAAAAAAAATTTTTACAATCTGACTTTGAAAAATAGTATCAGTTTTAAAAATTTTTCTTAGAAAATGCTAAACTTTGCTAACAGCATCCACATACAACGCATTGCAAAAAAGTTTATTGAAACCTTACTTCTAATTCCGGTCGGTTATTTAACTTATAACGTCAATGAAATGAATAGAAAATATGAAATATATCCAGTACTGCTGTAAGTTGAAAAATTCGAGTTCTTTTTTTGTAGTATAAATGTACCAAAAATAAAAATTCACTAAAATTCTACTTTAATAGAAAAGCACGTGTTTGACGCAAACTTTCACATCCTTTTTTTAGCTGGAAAACACCGAAAAAACTTACATTGAAAATGATGATAGTTCAACAAGACAAAGGAGAAGTTTGCCTAGAAAAAGACAAGCATATCCTAAATGGTTCAGACATGCTTGTCGCAAACATTTTTGTGGATCTTACGACTGCAGTACTTTCCTGTATGCAAAAGGTAGGAAATTTTCTGTCGTAATAGTTCGAGATAATTATTTCGATTTGTAAGTAGACTGGAACTTGTAGAGTAGTAGTTCATGCAAGACTTTCCGGTTAGACTTGTGCTAGGATCATTTTTGGTTTATAATTATTTTACATTATTTCTTAAATACTTTCAGGAAAGATTTTGTGCAAACATTGTAGAGTTGCAGCATGTAGAAGAGGAACCAAAATACTCAAAATAAGTTCAAAATAGAACTGATGTGTTTCCAACATGTTTTCCTACAAAGACTACCACAAAAAAAAAGATATATTTAGGGACCTGTCAATAACTGTCGAACTTCAAAGAAATATAAAAAGTCGTTTTCGTGACTTTTGTTTTTTAAATGTAAAATTATCAACACGATATTACATTTTATTTAAGTGACACCAAAGTCAAAAAATCTAATATGCGATAATCACTTTTTTTATACCTTAACATAAATTTGCAAAAAAATATTCTATTTTGACACATTTACTGAGAAGTATGACTTGATTCTTCTGAATGGAGAAAGATTTATATCAGGCAAATATACAGCAATATTTAGTACAAAGATTTTTATATACTAGATAAATTTCATGGTAAGGCGATGACGCTAAATGAAGTTTTCATCAAGCAAAATGGCGCCTGAATTGTTCTGCCAAGTGTTTTCCGGGGAAAATATTTTTTTACATACATGTATTTCGAAATTCATATCCTTTTATTAAAAGAAGCAACGGGTAATTTATGTATATAACAATATTTTTTTCTGCAGTAGATTATAATAGCTGAGTCATTAAATTGTTTCCTTTATAATGATAGTTAATATATAATTCGTTTTATGTTGAGCTTTTGTAGTGTATATAGATAACATTTTCAATGAATAAGGAAGTTGCATCATTTCATTTATTGTATCACGTAAGGTTGAATAAACAGATTTACACTGATCAACTTTGTATAAGTCAATAAAGCATGGAATTATATTAGATAAAATTGTTTCACGAATTTATATTTCCAACAAACAAATTTTAGAAAAATGTTAAAATATTTTGATTGCGACGTATATCTTTTTTATCATTGATTAATAACTATTATATGTATGTAATATTTTTTGTTCAATGACAAATAAAATTCTAACACATAAAATACTTTGTTTGATATTTAGCAGTAAATGTTTACATATTCCAAGACATGACAGTATCTCTTAAGCAAAAACTTAAACGATATATCGAACCTGAATTTTTTTCACGGTGCATCAACTTACCTGTCTCATGTTCGAAAAATATTCGACTGTTTTCAACAATTGGATAAATTAATTTAATCTCTCTACTTGATGGAGTATATACAAAAGAGTCTTATATACAATGTATAAAGTATTATAAAAACAGCATATTTAGGCGTAAGCAATTTTAAAAATAGTCAAGTCTCCAATTTAAAAGTGTTTCCTGATTTCTGACATACCCCATTACCTTATACGTACTCTTCTTCAAGTTGAGTTAATCTCATTTATAAGATGAATTCATTCAATAGTCATCTATTCTAGTGATTCCCAATGTGGGCAATATCGCGCCCCGGTGGGTGAAAACGATACAGAGGGGGGCGAAAAGGTCGATGGGGCGATAGGGGGGCGATTTCGCGAAACCTGTTTTGGTTCGGCGCATCGTGCGCTTGATTACTGTAATCTGCGTGTTTTCCTAAGTTTGAATCACGTGGGCGATTATCACACGCGAAAGGATTGTGTATCCCAGTGGTCGGCAAAATACGGCCGGAGTAAAATAATCTGGCCAGAACGCTTCACTGGATGGACCTTTCCCCAACCTTTGACCCCGGAAAATTCTTCCTATACTTTACTATTTTAAAATTTTCGGTGCTTATTTTATGAGCGGTTTTGCGAGTTGTTGCCTGTAAAATGGGGTATTTGTTTCAAACTATTATTCTAATTCATACCATTCAACAATCTGTTTTTTAAATGTACCGGTAAAGAATTTTATCCTAGTCTACCACATTTATTTCTACACTAATTCTTGATTACTGTAATTAAACCAAGACTCCTAGGAACACAAAGTGATCATTGACTTATATTTAAATTTCCGAAAAACAACTAAAAACTAACGAATATAATTCAAAAACGTGAAAATCCGAAGATCACCAACGCATTTATTCCCAAACACTTTATTGTTTTGAACTTCCTACATTGCATAATTTTTTTTTTGATATCTTCCACTAAGGTGGGCAACAAAATTCTAACTGATAGTGCTGTTATTACATTGAAGTTCGAGAATGTTTCGTAATTTCAAGTCTGTGTGAAAGATTTGTTATTAAACAAGATACTTTGAAATAAAATATTTTAAGTTCATTCATGAACATTCTGAAAACTTTATATACAACATAGACTACGTACTACAATATAACCATTTTTGTTGACGAAAACTTTATTCATGTCAATTTTGGTGAGCATTATTGAATAATTTAAGTCCAAAACAAACACCAATTATTATTGAAACTGCGGAATTATGTTAAAATATTTTTATTGCATTTCGCAAGTGCTTAGTATTTATAAAAGAAAAAACATTAAAGTGCACAGATAATTATAAATATCAAAAAAATAAGTAATAAGTGATATAAATAAGTAATGAAATACTAGAATTCCAATGAAATTATATTCTAATATATATCGATGTAACAGCGAAGTAGAAACCAAAACTGCTCAACAGCATCTCAATTTTTCACTACAAACGGTTTTCCAATTTTTTGCCCTTAGCACCCGTTTATCTTCAAAATCTTCTAAATATTAAAATCTTCAAAGATATAAATGAATAGTATTTTTAAATTATCAAAAAAATTCTAAAATTAGATTAGTTTTGAAAAATTTTAGTCACAACAAATAAATATTTCTAGCTCGTGTTCCTAATATTTTAGTCCAGTTTCGAATAACTTTGGTCTCGCATATACCTGCACGACATCCGTTGTACTAACTAGCCATTTATATCTGCTCTTGATAATATGCCGAATTTTCTTCATATGCAAATTCAATAAATTTACATTCAAGTTACTTTCCTTTCATTATTCAACTCAACTAGGTAAATCCCATTTGAAACTTCAATGATTATGAATTAAAAAGTAAAAGAAAGTAATTCATTTTTATTCAAACAAAAAAATAAAAAAAAATAAAAATAAAAATACGTTACACGCAATTTTAGTGTGGCTTGATGTAACATTAAAAAAGTGCTTGATATGTTTTAATTAAAGGAAATCACGACCAACACTGTATAATGGTTATCTATTGGTGGTATCATCAAACTTGGCTTATTTTTGATAATTGACTGAAAAATTGGAGTTGCGCACAAAGCTCATGTGCTATTATGAGCATTTCATTTTAGTTTGTTTGGTAAAAATATAATTGAATATCGAACTGACGAAGGAAGCTCACTTTCCCGTGCTGTTGAATTTCCCAAGTATGTCAGCACTCGGCTTTTAAACAATAATAGGGGCTTTCAAGGTATTAACCGCAATTCGTGGAAGCTTTTTGAAATAGGCAATCCTCTTTACTGTATAAACATGAGTTATTTTTCAAGTATTATTTAGATTGTTAATCACGCACAAATGTCATTGGGAAGTTCTCTGTTTAGCATATGAATGCAAATAAAAACTGGAAAACTCTGGAAAATTCCATAACGTTGTTTTGATTTTTATATTCAATTTTTTTTTAAATTTTTTTTTGTAACCATCAAGTGCTGGGATTACGGTAATATAACCGAATCTATTTCTATATGTATTGTCACTGCTCTCTATTATTTGTTTCTTTGTTTATTTTATTTTTTATTTTTACTCACCTAAAGACCCGATGACGGAGCAATTCGTCCTTAACAACCCCAGTCATTCCTGTATTACTTATTATTGAAACTTTTTGATTACTCAAGTGAAAAATAAAATAAATCTGAAATTGCTTATAAAGTTCTATAATTTCTGTGCCATTTTTTCTAGACAGTGGAAGATTATTTCAAACTAATTCAATCAAGAAATTGGATGGAAAAGTGCACCAATTTAGTTCGCAACACTGGAAATTCTTATGAATTTAAATGACAATCAAACCCCAATAACAAAATGAGAATATCGGTCGGAGATCGAAGACTTATCGATCGAAACTGCGGTTTCGATTCATGACTGTATAGTGACACCGCGTGTCCCATCACTAATTAATTATTTAATAACTTGCTAATTATACGACATAAATCATTCAAAATCAATTGAATTGATCTAAAAGATCGATAAGTAACAATGATATTCCACTCAATCGGTTTTTAAGGACAGTAAATTGAAATAATAAAGGTCAATGTTACGGATTTATTTTTAAAATAGAAAAAATTCTTCAGTTTATCAAACACTTCAACGATAACTTAATTCATTCAATATCTGTTATATATATATCTGATAAAGATTCCGGATTATATACAATTTGCTAGTGTTCCGTAATATCATCCTCGTGTTAATAATATATTTATGAGTATTAATTGTCAATAGAGAGTGCCAATGAGACTTTTCTTCTGATTAATGCTTGATCGTGTTCTATGCTCTTCAGAAGTTCAAGTGTATTTTGTTTACCTAAGTATATAATGGTAAGTAACGCTTGACTAAAGTTCAACGAGTACTATTTAGAAATTTTAAAACTCATTCAGTCGTTTTGAATTTCCCAATATATAAATAATGCGCGTATTTATCTATATGTGTTTATCCAACTGGTAAGATAAACAACGTGGAATCTGAGTTCAATTATTCATCTTTTAATTCCATGTTCTATACGTTTCAATTCAAGCTTTATCTATGACCGATAACAATGTTAGTATAATGAAATTTTTCATGACATACAATGTATCAATAAAATGTATTTCTCTCGTGGGTTGGATGATAACTAGTCACCATCGTGTCCATGTTTAAAGTTTTTTGTAATAGTATGACATGCCACAACAAAATTATACTCTTCTTAAAGATCAAGTATTTTGATAAATTATAGCCTAACGATCCCATTTCTAGAAATATGTAAATTGCTTTGGTAGGATTTTCGTAACGATGTTTGTGCAATCATCGTGGCCTCAAGTTAAACATAACTTAAGTTTATATATGATTCTTGTAGTCATCGACTTTTGGTAATGAATAACTCAATAAATTTATATACAGCCATTTAATGATGTGCATACTAGATTAAATTTCATTTGCATATGCAGCTAAAAATATTAGTATACAACTAATTTAGTGTAGTTTATGAATATTCTAATTGTAAGATTCTTAAAATTTGATTAAATTAGGAGAGCAATGGGATTTAGAGATTCCAACTTCTTATATTCCCAATACAATTCGTGTTGATTTTATCATATGTCGTACACGGTTTTATCATATAAAAATCATATAAACATATTAAAACTATGAATAATTAATATGTACATTTATTCATACCATCAATAATAATCTAATTACTTTATAGTAATAAGCTTTATAGTTTTGGATACATATTTCAAAACAAGAAGTTTTATTGTTTGCGGGGAAAAAAGGTAAAAAAATAACATTAAAGGTTTAAGAGTAAAAACAAGTTCGCAATATAGCAAATTACTATTCTTTTAAAATTTAAAAGATATTTTTACGATTTTTCCACAATATTCGGGTTATTGTCTTTGATTAAATACCTATTCAATTTCAAATCAAGTTTTCTAAAAACAGTTATTCAGGAAAACTCATTTGTATGGTAATTTTTCCCGCTCGAAAACTGATATGCATGTAAAAAAAATTGCCAGTTGAACAATAGAAAGGTAATTGAACCTCTTAACATTAACAAATTTACGGAAAATCACCTTCGTATTTTAAACGCGCTGGACGGTTTTGAATAATAGTTCTTTTTTGACTTATAGGAAGTGGCAATACAGCAAACAACGGATACTCAATAGCTGAGAACTTAAATTATGTTTTGTGATGGTAAGGAATAGATATTTGACACCCATGACTTTACTGTTTTTTCTAAATAACTAGGATTGCGCATAGTAAATTAACAATATAAATTATTTTTTAGCGCTTATAATATCAATGCAAATATTACATCAATCCAACAATGGACGTCAATGGGGATATCACCATTTGGTGGTATTGTTGTTCAGTAAATACGCCAAAAAATTCACCGTTTTGTATTGAATATTTGTACAAGAAACCTCAATGAAAAACATTATATTTTGGGATTTTAACGAACGATGGCCCATAGAAAAATGGCGCTTCGTAACCCTGGAAGATGTCAGGTCCTAATTGCGTAAACAAATTGAAATGTAATAACACGTGAAAAATTCAAGTAAATTTAAGGTAAAATTAAATTGTTTTCATTGAAAATTAAGAATTTGTTACAGATAAGCATTTCTAATAGAATTATTTGAATATCCTTAGAAAGAAGAATTACAAGAATATTTGAAAATGAATATCATCGAAACTCATGATACTTGCTAAGTACAAGTTAAACTTACAATGTTTTCTGATCTATTGTGGACCAGAACATCCCCAGTACGGCCCTCTATTGAAATAAGATTTTAAGCCTTTTGTTCAATTGAAATAAGGCAAACATTGGCAACCCAGTGTATTGTACATTCATGCTTGAAAATAAATAAATTATTTCATCATGTTTTTGAATTTCCCCATTTTATATAAAGATCGTCAATCTTTTATACTTTTTTGTCTAATATTTTTTACAAAATAGCATTCTAGTTAATGTGGAGTCGACAAAACCAATCGAAAACGATTATAAATATGACTGCTCTATATTTGTTCGTCAGTCGTAAAACAGGGTTGTCGCGTGCTGTTCAAAGCAAAGCAAGCCGAACTTAGGTAGAGTTGGTAGATTCTAATATTTTCTGCTGTGAAACAGTATGTGCTTTAATATTTTAGGTATTTCGAGTTTGCTTTTCTAAATGTAAGTATATTGAATAATTAATTGAATGATAAGCAGTTACTACGCCTTTCCTTTAGACTCATTCTATTTATTCATCCAATATTTCTATTCCTTTTCGACTGAAGGATGATGTATTTTATATTTTTAAGATGTAAGAATGCAAGAGAAAAGCTATACTTTTAAAGGCAGAAAATATTTTTTGATCGAATTTTCTGTAATACCCAGAAAATGGTAATAATAGTGAATCCATGCTGAAGCTTGCAATGGTATTTATTCCGACAAAGCAATATTTAAAGACAAGTAATGAGAAATATTTATTATTACTTAATTCGTTTGCTAGAATAATAGATTGCGAATAAAGGAATATCTATCTAACAATCTAAAATATGTAGAATTGGGGTCTGAATATGATTGTCTTATGCGGCAGGAAATGCTTTATAATGTCCAAAGAATGAGAAATATATGCTGCTTAACATTCATTGACACAATTTTATTGGTTATTTGGATAAGATGAGGTGTTTCGACTCCTATCATGTTCCATAACAATAAGGAATCAAAAATAGCTGTTAAAGTTACACTTTATTGTACTATATGATGTTGTTATCATAAACTGATGTTCAAGATAATTATAAAGGTAATTGAGTATAAATAACAATTTCGCATACAAGGATTATGATCTTACTTACATCCTCGCCCACCGTATTCTTAGTCTTTCTAATAACATTTTTCCTAAAAGTAACGCTTTTCGTATATGAAATTTTTTGTCTGTTGCGTTTTTTGAGCTGTAAAACACTTTATGACTCTAAAAACTTTAATTTCTGGGTCATTCATTGACACAGTAAAATTTTAATTCAATTCCTCTTATATTTTTATGCTTTATACATATATTGGGATGCAGAAAAGTTCAAAACTTAATAAATACCAATTTCCAACATAATTTTCTTATTGCAAATTGAATATTAACAGAAAGGGGAAAAGGGGGATCGGTTTATGGATAGAAAATTTTCCATAGTTGTACTCAGACAATCTATATAGCTTCTAAAAAGCTAAGTTAACGGGTAGCAATAACAATGGGCTGCAATTCAAATAAAAATGAATGAAAAGTTCAAACTGTGAGGTTGTACTTCCGTGAGAAACAGTGAAAGTTGCCTTTGTTTTCAAATTTGAGATGTTTTGTCTTGTTGTGCAATTTACAGTAAATTCTAGCAAAATCTTTTTGATGAAATTTGTGATTTTAAAGGTCAAAGAAAATAAATTCCCAAGAGTCTACATTTCATTTAGTAAATCCTAATGAAGTGTTGTTGATTTTTGATTCATCTAACGGAGTGTTTCCGACTGGGAAAATGTTGAAATCGTGCAAAGCGATAAACCGAGAGCGTGGGTAAGAAATTTCTTTCATCCTATTCTTAAATGATATTGTGGAGAAGTAGTAGTTTTTACTTGTTGATGAACAAAATCTTCTATGTTTGTATGAACAGTCACATTAAAAAAAAAAAAATTTATTATGAGTGTTTAATACAACATTCCCCAACCGGTGAACAGTTCCTCCGAAGAAAATTTTGCTTTGTAATTGTTTATTTATTATTATTAATATTATTATACGTGTTCATGGACATATTTTAAAGTACCTAAATTGTACAAAAGCTGGTTAACAGTTCGATGACGACGCAATATTTGAAACTGTAGAGTGAGCATACTTTTGTAAAAAATAGACGAATAATTCTCAAATTAGGTTGTTGTCAGCAAAGCATTATTGTCATCTCATCATTCCAAGGATGAACCTATTTATAAGTTTGTAAAATGATTTTTACTAAAATAAGAACATTGGCCACATTTGTGAACCTCAGTACGGCACACATGCGGCTGTTAATTGAATACATGCATACAAAATTTTACCAAATTTGGAGTGAAACAAGCCCCATCGACCGCTAAATGTGGGAAATTGAGATATGAGTAAATTATTTCCCATATAGGCACGTCCATCTTAAACAACCGTTAATTTGACTGTAATTTGACTTTATGCGCAATAGCCTGTTCTTTCGCCGAACGTCTTGTTGAAACGTTTCCTTCGACACGACTACTGACACATTTTCATGTCACGAATAAATATAGCATTGCAATAATTTTATAGGAATTTTAAAATTTAGAGACCATTATAGTAATATTGTATTTACAAAGAGTTTGAATGTTTCTACCGCCGAGTCAGTTGCATGGCAGTCGGATCAGGCCACGATGCTAAAGTATTTGTAAAATTACATATATTTTTCACACTTTACCAAGTGCAAGTTGTTGTCTATTGCGAGCAAATTGAATACTGGGTTAAGGTGAGCTTGAATTATCACGTTTATAAACAAACCAGTAAAAGATAAATATTGAAGCGTCTCAAAGAATAAATCATTCTTGTCTAATCCCACGCTATAGATCATTTTGCAGAACAAAAAAAAATTGTACGATTACTGACAGATCTCTTTTGTGACTGAAACCACTAAACTAAAAAATAATAAATATTTTGTCTGACCAAAATCATAGTCTTGGGCGCGTAGACGTCGCAAGTTGAAAATTTAGGTTTAAAATTTCATACTCACAACCTAACTTACGTTATACCAAGTTATTTCAGGTTAGCAATGACGAAACGGAAAGTTATCTAAAAAATAGTATATTATTGTGATTCGATGGCTGTTTGTCTATAGAAGTGTTTGAGGTGAAGACATGAAAACGCCTTGTACAAAAAATAGCCGGTAATTGTCGTTGCGTGATTCCAATATGGTACTAATATTCAAATGAAGTAATTAAGTTTACGGTGTTCACTTGTAAATGCGATACGTCAATATTAATTTAATTATACCTGGCACGATTCCTTCTGTATGAACAATTTTAAATATTTCCTTCTGTTCAATTTGTAGCGACTATGTTTCACATATCGTGCTTGACTAACCATGAACAAACATTAAAAAGTTGGGCTAGTTTATGAAAATAATTCTGAAAATCTTATAATAGCAAATATAACCTGCTTATTAGATAGATATTAGGATTACGTTTGGAGCCGTTGTGAATAAAATCGAAAGCCGGTTAGATATCCCAAACATTTTAATTAGTGTTCCGATATACAATAACATCGACACATAATGGCCGGAATGTTTTCAGTCTAAATATTGTTGGGCCGCTTAAGAAAGGTCTACTGTATTCTTTGGACCTTACTTTCCCCTAAACCTCAGCGGCATCTAATTCAAATCTCGTAACCTATTCTTGGAGGCAAAACATTCACGAGAATTGAGGTTTTGCGGGCAGCAGGGCTCGACTTTAAGAGTTTGGTTACGCGATTGAGCAAGAGTTACCTCGCCCACGTTTTTTCACCTTCACTTTTAATTCGTATTATCTATCATAGGTTGTGTCGTATGTAAGCCAAATGAAATTTTGGTTTTTTAGCAACAGTGAAGTGCAGTTGCGAGAAAAATGGTAATGTGAGTGAAAATGTGGTATTGGCATGACTTAGTTTTTATTTTGCTATTCATTGCAGAAAGGGGGAATTCAAATATATCCGGGAAGGTTATGCTCAGTCATTTTGCATGCAGGTAAATGGATTTGCCAAAGAATTTGCTAATTATAAAGGATTGCATTCGACACAAGCGATCTATAATTATTTAACAATGTGTATTCTGCAATTACGAGTCGTGTATCTGAAAGAATGTATTTAAACCTTGTATAGTTGTGAAAAGCAAAGACAATTTTGAAGTATCTGAAAATGTTAATGTGAAATATTTAATCATACTGACATTTAGAATTTAGTATAATCATTATATTACCTGAAAATATTTTTTAACATCAATAACGCACGTTTGACTGTAAAGACTATTTCTCAATAATATTTTCATTGCGACATCACACCCAGGTATGCGTTATGCATTTCAGTCACGCAATAAATAAAGGTACCGGTTTATGGAAATGCGAACTGAGAAATAAGCGACGTGTCGTGTGTGACTGGCGATTGACAAAGATTAGGTTCTGTTGAGAACGTTGCAGCCACACACGACCCTGTTGTACCTTGTTTACTTTACTACAAGATATAAAAATTAATATCATGTTCCCATGGAGCTTCATAGGGACTGAACAGTTTAATTCAGTTCAATTTTAAATTGTATAACATTGAATCTTGCTTGTTTTTTTCCATCATGATCTGACCATAACAATAATGACAGGAGAAATTTTATGATCTAATTATCGACTTCAGAAATTCTGTATTTTAATTTTAACCTTTTAGAATTTTTAAGATTGCGATTGTTCTGCCTCGCTACAGATGGTGAACAAGTTTCCCGAAATTTTAGTTTGTTGGCTGGAAAACAACACATTTTTTGGTTAGGTTGTAATCTTGTGCGATATCCTGTAATAACTATTTAGGTTTTTACTAAAAAGTGGCCGCTCCCGTAGTATTTGAACCAAGATGGCGGACACCGGAACATAGTATGTGTAGCAGGGTAAAGTTAGGCCATTATTTCAATTCCAATTTTCGGAGTTCGGAGACTAGCCAAGTGACTCCTGTAACATTTGTACCTGAAATTGAGGCCTAACCTGAATCTTTTGCTTTCCATATTATTGACCTTGAAAAATAGGATTTCAATTAAAATAAAATATAAGAATATTGGAAACTATCTCATTGTATTTAAGTTCATTCCCCTTTGTAAATTTACCGGTTATCGATGTGCATTGTCAGAGGCGGGAATATCTTTTTAATAAGCTTTGTATTACCTTTGTATTGTGGCGCCGAATTGTTCCAGGAGTCAGTCCTTGTAAATTTCGATTTGAACAAAAAAACCTCAAAAATTTGTCGTGAGGTGCTCAGTATTGAGGCATTCAGCATATTATAATTTATAATATTTGTTCAATAAGTAAATATGCTTTTGTAGTGATACCAAGTATGAGATTTAAAATGCCCAGCATGAGTGACAGTGATTAAATCGTTTGATTTGTTATAGGAATGTACAGAATCACGCGTTTAGGAAGTCCTAAATGTAGTAATATCATTCATCAAGTAAATCACAAGGTAACAAGAGAAACGTTTCAAATCATAACTTCGAATTTATTGGACATAAAATGTACATATTAATCGTTTTCTTATTATGTTGTTGTTGTTATTGTTAGTATTTTTCTTTTCCATTTACTTCTGACTGTGAAAAAAACGGACCTCACAATTGCTTTGAAATTTTTAGTGGTTAAAAATCGTATTTTTCGCTAGGCTATTATACTTTTATTTCAAAAATTTTTGTGATCTCTATTGGTTTTGTTTTGTGTGCGATAGCGTCATCTATTCTAAATTAAAAATGCGCACCTTGTATTGTTTTCGCGTTTGCGTTAGCAGTCAGGCGAAGTCGTGAAGAGTCTGGTACCGGTAGTCTACTGTGACAGATTGCATACCCGAACTACTTTGTTTTAGTTTTCGTGTTCATATATTTAAGCATCGCTTTCTTGTGTTCATTTCATCATATCAGCATATTTATGATATTTCAATTTTTTATCTAAATTTTTGGTTTCTCTTATTAATTAGTTTTTTTGAATGTTTGAATAAACCTGAATACTCAAAATGTTTTTAACATGATCTTACACTGGTAAATTAAATATTCTAGAATTTGATGACCGCAGTATAGAAGTAATAAATGAAAATGATAGAAATAAATACTAAGGGAGGTAAATAATAAAAGACGACGTAAAAATACAATTTTTTTATAAAAGACCACCAGCTTAAAAATTGAGACAGAAAAAAAGGTTGTTAATTCTATAGTGTTAGAGAATAATACATTACACTGAATTAGGGTACATTGGGTCGCCATTGTGAGCGTATGACTCGGAGAAACACTGCCCAATATCAAACTTTTGACGCCAATAGATTGTCTGGATAAGTCTATATTGATCCAAAATAAAATATTTTATGTTAATATATATAGGATGTCCATAAAGTTGAAAAAAGAAAGTTGCAATAAAATTGCAAAGGGAATTTATCGACACCATAAATATTTTGACCTTTACAGATGTATTGAATGTAAAATAAATACCAAATAATTAATATTAAATAAATAAATAAAACATAATATTTGAATATTTAAAATATTTTTATTAATTAAAAAACAACAAACCTGGTCAAAATTTATTGAGGTCTGACTTTATAACAAAATTGAAACTGTAAAGGGACTCCATGGACACCCTGTATATATGTACAAAGATGATTTGTATGCGCATAAGCAATGGCTGAAATTTGTTATATTCAATCTACGAGGAAACGTACTGTTTTGACAAGGTTCATTACTAATGGTACAAATATTTACAATAGTTGTCAGCCATTTAAAAACCATATTCATGAATTTAGAATTATTGAAATATTTGCCAATTTTGGTAAATATACAATAAATAAGGTCATGGTAAGTACAAATATAAGCAATTTCACGAAGGCAATAATATTCGAGTCTGGAAAAGACCTAAAAAATAACGGTTTTAAACAAAGTTTAACCCATCTCGAACACTCTTGCGCTCGTTGATTATATATTTTTGAATGTTATTCTTACTTAGTATTTTATTACTACGTCTTAGATTAGCTTTTTTGTGAATTAGAAATTCATAAGTATTTGAGACTGAAAGAAAGTCAACAGCTTCAGCAGAACGTAGGCAATTGAGTCAAGTTCAAGATATTGTTTTCGCAAAACCAAGATTATGAATTCGAAAGGTTTTTGGTAAAACTTTTGAACGGATTTAGATGAAACTGACTCTCTTGTAGTGGTTCAAAGCGTATGGCATTTCAACTTTAAAACTCAAAATTGATACGTACGTTCTATTTATCCGAACTTTTTGACAGCAGCACAGAATTTTTAACTTTTTTGTTTTTGAATTCCAAATTATAATTTCTATTATTTTCAAAATTTTCAAAATGAAGAATTACAAATTCTTTTTCTCGGTCTATGTTATTCACCTATTTTGCGTTGAAACAAGGCAGACTCAAATTGGATTATTAAATGATATTGAAATATCAGATGATCATTAAAATAGGATGTGTACAGCTGTGTAGAATTGAAGATTCCCCTTTTCTTTGGTGTATTAGAATGTACGTCTCTTAAAACTGTTTAACCGTTTTGCTTTACTGGCTTAAAATCCAGATAATCGGCTTTACATAGGTTTTAAAACCCATTATACGGATTCCAACTTGAATAGCAATGAATAGCATTTAACAAATGTGTAAATATTTGCTGTCTGACAAAGATTGTTCTTAAATTCTAGTCTACAACGCATAATAATTGTTCGGATCCAATGTGTAAGAATTTAATTTGGTGTTTTGCATGTATAGCGTTAAACGCAATGTATAGTGTAGTTGATGCGTTACTTTTTTTTCGCTGACCAAATAATTTATCTATCAGTCATTCTAGGCGCTACGCTTAACTGAGTATAGATTTTCATTAACATCCAGTGTTATTATTATTGCTTTTTTTAATGTTATTTATAATTTTGTAGGCATACGAAATTTCCAGTTCCCCGGTTTGAATCTAAGAGCTTCAGCCAGTGGCGCCAAAATAGTAAGATAGAGCTGTCTAACTACTAGGCAATCACACTAAGAGGTTTTAAAAAAAATGTCAACATGTAGATATGACGCTAATAGCCTTATCAACAGATGCATGTTATAATACTGTGAAAAACTTATAAAAAATGGATTCAGAAATATAAGTATGGGATCATGTTATATAATATATATTTCTTTTTATAGTTTTAGTGTTTGAGAGAATATTAAAAATGAAAAAATATACACTACTGTCACTCAATTATTTAATCACTATAGCCACCATGTATCAATGGAAAGTGTTATACCAAAGCAAGCTCTAGTTTGGTTTATATATTTGCCCGCTTTAACGTGAAGTAATCCTTTATTTTAAAGACGAAAACAATCCAAATTAATTGTAGATTAGAGAATGTTAATAAAATGTTGTAAGAATGGGCCATATTAGATAGTAATTTGCTTGTATTCAACTCAAATAACCTAACCTTATTTGCCCATAATGAACTGCCAAAGTTTAACTCAGCCCTCTTTCTTCTTCCCGTCATTCTCAAGTATTTCAACAACAAATTTTATTTAAATAACTTAATGAATTAAAACATTATCTTTTCTTAGTGTAACATTAATTTTAAACTAAACAATATGAAGACCACAAGCGTGATGACTCAATTTCTTGTTTGTATGTTGCTATACGGTCTTATTCTGCAGTGCCAATCTTCAAAAATATCAAAAGGTAGGTGATTTCATATATGCAAAATAACATTTTTCAAAAAAAAATTTGAGAAAGAAAACTCAAAATACTACAACTACAGAGGTAGTAAAATGAAATGTTTAAAAATATATATTGACGTTTACCAAATATGATTCACTCAGGCAGTGGTGCAAGTGAATATCGATTTCAGTTGTTTACGTACTTTGACCAAACAACTCAGTGCTTGTTTTCTTGCTGAAGCAAAGTACGTACACATTTGTGGTATTAAAAACATGGCTGAATATTTATAACTAAAATAATTAGAAGTAAAAATATTAAAACCAAGTTGATTTTTTATTTAAATTGAACGATTTTTGTTTTATTATTTTATTTATATATAATATTATCATTGAATAATGAATTGAAAGTAAATTACAGAAAATTTTTCACATTATAATACAATTGACTTGTTCAAGTTTTGTAATGCCTAGCTGATTTTAATTTTCAATTTCACTGTATAATCTTTCACTAAAACCATAAAATGCTCACTCGAAAGCTAAAAAATGATTGCTATTTTAGTATATCAAAATAACAATAAACAATGAAAAATTGAAGACCCGCTAAGATTGCTACTATAAAAATATTTCATTGTAACTAAATGGTTGTTGTCAAATGCATTTGTGATATATTACATAATTTGAACTTGCGTATTTTTTGCAGAACAAATCAAGCTGGAACAGTTCAAAAACGAAGATAACACGTTTCACTTGATGGAGGTAATTTGATAATGTTTGAGATAAACTTAAAACCAAAAATGTTAATGCTTTCGTACTTGCATCAACCGCTTTTAAGTCGTAGGGGCTATCCAAGTAATTATCAATATATGCCTAACGATTTGTTAGTGTAAAACGATTTTCTGAGAAACTACAAAATCGCGTCAACAACACTCATATAGAAGCATATAGTGTACCCCAAATTCGCAAATTTCGCAAATTTTCATACATAATTTTATTTAAATTTTCTTTAGATCATTCATGTCTGAATAACCGAAAATTACTCATGTGAATATATTGTTTTGCACCTATATCAAATTAAACCCTTTAAGACATCTAATAATACGTTAGAAATAATTGTTTCTACTAAAAATTATTGTGCAAATTTACGATAATATCCAACTATGCTTGCGGTATGTTTTGCGTATATTTCTTGATTCAATACATATCCTTAAAATTCAATTTTTGGAATTATTTGATATACGACTTATACTGTTCCCGGTATTACACTTTATTGCATATTAGCAACTTCATATTGGACCAGGGTATGAAATTTCCCTATACCCTGTAATATAATATTTATTATTAAATGAGCCGCATGGTTCTTGTTCAAAATACCACAAAAATCATCAAAGTGCATACCGATATGTTTTAACGAAAGGGAAGCAATTAAACGTAATAAACATGTGCAAATATGAGCCTGTGTTTTATGAGTAAGTTTTAAATATATATCAGAATACCCGTGTATAAGTGATATCGTTAAATTCGTATTATGTGGTTACTAAGCTATCAATACTTATGGCATCCATAAAAACATCGATTTATTGGCATTCCTGAGGAGGGGAGGGATATATTGTTGTTGCCTTTCTCCTGAATACACGTTGGGTAATCATCTTTAACATTAAATTATTGAATCTAATCCTAGTTTTGCCACACTGTAATAATTAGAGTCGTTACCTTACAATGTACATATTCATTCAATACAGGCCGTTTCCAAAGAAAGTATAAGCAAACAATTACAGGCTTGAAACAAATTTGTCAATTGGTTGATTTAAAACCCTCAACAGGATTATACAATAGTTTTACAGTTCTCCGTTAGGTTCTACTAAAAAAAACTTGAAATTAAAAATAGTTGAACAATATTAAAAATCTTATAAACTATCATTTCTTTGCTCAAAATAAGATATGCTCAACAACATTCACCATGCAATTTTTTGAATATCTTAAGTAGACGTGGTACCGGAGATAATTTTTCATTAATAGCAAAAGGTTCTGCTTTTATGTATACAAAACATTCTGAACTATTTTCGGTTTTGTATTTTATGGGGATGAGAGTTTTGGTTATCGGAATTAGAATATGCAGACAACCATAAACCCTAATAAATTAAGAGCCAATTACCTGAATATGTTTATCTTTAAGAAAAATTGGGTTTTCCCTGAATTAGAAAATTATTGTTTTCGAAAAGTGAAGTATAATTCTTATAAACTTCAAAGTTGGTGTATTGGATTTGACAACATTTCATTTTGAAACACAAAGTTGTGAGCGAGTTCGCGAAAACGGGTTCCCAGAGTTGACTTCGTCCACAAGAAAACATCCGTTTTCAAAAGTCAAAATATTTTTTAAGAACACCTAGACTGAAAGTCTGAATTAAATTATTAAATTATCACATTATTATATACATAAGACCTACGGGAATATATTTAAACCTCATGTAAATTTTTATATTAGAAACGATCAACAAATTCAGAAATTGAAACGTTGGAAGATTCAGAAGAACACAGAACGAAAAGGAGCCTCAACTCGTTTTGGCGATACATTTGTTCCAAAAAGCCTTGCTTGAGAAAATGTCGAGAATATCGTCGACCCTTAGCACGTAAGTTTACTAATTGCCTAATCAATAATCATTATTATTAGGTAAAATTAAGTATTTAAACAGGAAATACTTGAAATTCGGAAGATTTTGAAAAATTGCACTAAAGATCTCACCTATGTTTTAATTACGATCACTCCATTACAAATTAGTTCTGGTTACAATAATTTGCTGAAATAATATACGTTGAGCATAGACCGGCTATCCCATTGAACACCAACTACTAACAGAGTCGTAGTTTAATAAAGGTATTTCTTGCTAACAAAGGTATTTTTTTCAAACATGTTATAACTAATTAGTAATTACCATCTCATTAACAGGTCCTTATCGTGGGAAAAACCGTCTGGTGAAATGCTGCAAACGAGGTATTCTGCAAATGAATTATTGCAGACTGTATGAAATGGTGATGTGAAAGAAGCTCCTCAACAAAATATGTAAATGAAACTGACTTCGCTTTCGCTTAGTTTTGCAGACCATGTTATAAGACTTTACTTGATGACGACAATTTACATAGATATAAACTTACTTCAAACATGTGGAAATCAATGTTTTTTACACGCCTATATATTCTTCAACATTTTAATGTTTTGTCGATATACTATTATTTAAAATTTAGGGCAGAGATGATTGTAAATAATAAACTCCTTTCACGTTCAGATCCTTCCGGTCCAATTCAACAAAGTACAAGTCTATGCACCATTTAGTATATACGTTTTAATTCAGAATTTCAGCTTTTAATTTATCTAAATCTAAAAACTCATATTAATAAATGATGACATTAAATGTTATTTTTTTTTTACCAAGCACATCCTTTTGTCTGTATGGCCATCGTATTTATTGCATTTACTCGATGAATAGTTTAATATTCTTCTACTTTTTGTAAAATATCTACAATGACTAGTGTAACTTAGATCATAATTAGAAGCGGCACTGAAGTGATAACCCGTCATAACATGACGTCACACTTTAAGATGGCGTGAGTACAGAGACCTTGTCCAACGACAAAGTTCCCCATAACCAACCTTGCCCCGACCTATGATCGACCTATGATAATCTGAATATGGAAGTTTTCAGTCCCCAAGAAATCACTCTGTTGTTGGCCACATTAGATTCATTTTACATTGCTGATGCGTGGCTTCTGATTCCTATAAATTTTTCTAATATTTTTATTTTATTTGAAAACAACCTCGCCAAAATACTATTGCATATTAAGATGCTAAAATTCCGATAGCATAAATGAACCAAATGTAGGTTCTTTGTAAAGACCTTTGTAAAAAGCCTATTTAACAATATACGTTCTGTTATGACACATATTGGCAGCATGGATCGTAGATAAAAATGTGAATTTAATATTGCTTTTTTTTGTTTTTAAATTGTTATCTCATAGCGTGAGTGGTCGTAATTTTGTTTATATTTGAATTTACTTTAAACTCGTATTGATTCAAAAATTACTTTTTTTTCTACATTGTATTGCTACCCTGTAATAATATTTTTACTGTTGATACCCAAGAAATGTTGATATCTCAGACAGGAAAATGTAAAGTATTCATTATCATTATGTTCAAAGTTATGGACCAACTACGTGCGGTGATTTTATAAACCCTGATTTCTTTAGCTTCTTTAATTTTGGAATTTTTTGTGTTCATTTTTGCAAATAAACTTGTTATATTATATTTTGAATTTTAAAAATTATGAATGTGTTATTACAAGAAAATCCAATAGTATTTACGTTGATCCCGCACCCTCTCTACCGTATCTACCCTTGTCTGAGAAGTACTTGCCAATGCATTTTTGATCAGAATTATATGGAGTCGTGTGAATTATGTATATTTTTGTATATGTGTGTTGCGGTAATTACTCTTTATTAAATGCGTGAGATTGGAATTAATTGGAATTTGTTGCAGGAATGGTAGTATTTAGCTACAAATTGCTTCTATTTAGCTTATTTGTTGCAGGATAGTTATAAAAAGAATGGCATACGTTAGAATAAATATTGCGCTATATTATGAAACCTGTCCAAACGAACGGAATGAGAAAAATTTACCGAGCTAATAAGTTTTGTGAATGACCTAAAACGAGTAATGTTTACTCAACAATCGTTTCGTAGAACTATTAAAATGAGAATAGAAGGTAACAATAGCAGTTTGAACTGAATTGGATTTTTTCCCGACGAAACGTTTAAATCTATTTTAGGAAAAATAGAATCAATTTGGCGGTTATGATAGGTAAATAATAACTATGAGTCAGGGAATATTCACCCATATAAAAAAAAATTTACTTTCAATACCTTTCGAATAACGTTGCCAAGTTTGTGCATTCTACGATATTCATTTTGCTGTTGCCAAGGGTTCAGAATCTTCTAAAATCAGATTTAGTGTCGAATTAGGCTTGTCTCGTCCTACATTAGCGTACATTATGTCCATAGCATATATGTAGAGAAAAGGCAAATGCATGGCATACCTAATCAAACACATTAATGTACAGAAAGCGCATCTGCAAATCGTCCGGCGAGCGACACATAACATTCTCTCTTTTAAGATTTATTACAGAAATGTTTAAAATAAACAAAATTAACTTTGTTCAGCTTTTCCTGGTAGTGGGGTTATTAATTGATAAAGTCCTCCGATATTTGCGGAAACATATATGTGGCAACATTGAGTACATGTAACACTTTATGAGTCAGTGGTGCCTGGAACTCTACACACAGTCAAGGGTTCGGTTCCTGATGTCTGAACCGTCTTATATAAAACAGTCAATTTATTCTATTCAGTCTGATTTATTTAATCATATAATTTATTAATAAATAATATAGAAAGTATGTGGCGGCATGCTACTGTAATTGATATCAGTTTTTTGTCACTTCTCATGTACAAAAAAAATTAATTTCACATGACTTCTAAATATATATATATGTGGACATAGTGATTACGCACTCGCACAGTCTCTCTATAGAAATAGAAGCGAATACATTGAGCATACAATACACTCAACGGGATTTGGTTTCCTCTGTGAACTTGTCAGAAGTGAAGTAAATTTGAAACAAATTACCAGAAAAAAATGCACAATTCATTACCACGACAATTTAATTACGATACATTGACATGCAGTTCATGGCCTGGGTTCAATTGTGGATAATAAGCATAAAGTGGGTTTAACGATTGAAAAAAGATTTATTTGTCAATACTAGCACTTGTAGGCAAAATTAATGACATTACGACTTGAAATATTCATGAGTTGACGGGTTCACAACAAACTGTTATAGAGACAACATGATCTCTCGTTTCCGTGGCAAATTGTACGTCACTGTTTTCTCCAGTTTTCGCAGTTTTTATCTATCACGCCATAAATCCAAAATAGATAATACGAGACCTGCAATGGAAAGACGTTTATTTTGTAAAATGATTTATTTCACTTTTCTATTTCGGTGCTGTTGTTATATGCGTTGTTATATGCGTTATAAAGTTCAGACGCGTCGTCTGCCGTTAGGTGGAGAAAAAGCCGTCCGTGAAGTGCCAATGTTTCGGTAGATTTATTGAGATATTTCAATGAAATAAGATTAGAAAAAAAGTGATTCGCATAGTTTATTCAAGGACGTAATATAAATCTAGGTAATAACATAATAAGGATTATAATTAAATGGATTTAACATTATGAAATCATTCCATGACCATGAGTATAGTAATTCCATATTACGCCATTTAAACGTCTTGCCTGCGTGTATATACCCGGTAGCTTCTCTGTCCCACACTTTGCGGCGCCAAAACTTATGATACCTTGTAACTGCCACTGTCCTGGCGCGGTGGGTGACTCGCATATTAAAGGACCACCTGAATCACCCTGAAATACAGTATACAAAGTTAAACTAAGTTTCAGATTTCGCCGTGAAGAATTTTGTGTGTATATCTCTTATTATTAGTTTCAAACTTTGGCGTTTTTCGGTTTATAAATTTCAATCTTTTTAATACTCCTCTTTATCAGCATCTGGTGATAGGCAAAAGCTACCATTTTTACCTCAGTTTTTTTGATTAAAACAAAACTTCAAAACAATGTATTACCAAAAGTTTCCAACATTGCAGCGTCACGATTACATATAAAAAGTAAAAAAAAAGTATAAAAATCCAAAAACGTACCGTGCACGTATCTTGTCCCAGTTCTCCTCCCGCACACAAAATCATTTGAGTTTGTGAAAAAAAATAAGCAAACTTACAAATGTTTGGCGAGACTATTGGAACTGTTGCTTCTTTTAATCTGTAGTTAGTTGGGCCCATGCCTGTATAAAATTTCAGGAAATATTTGTTCCTTTGACACATAAACAGATTTTCAGTATAGTTTTTATTTGCAAGTAATTAAGACATATGTTCATTAATTAAAAATGTAGAATGAACTAAAGGTAAATTTTTATTCACATTTCAAGAATTTTTTAGAGAAAGTTTAGGTCTGATATTTTAAAAATTTTCTTGACTCTGAATTATTTCCTTATTTAGAAGTTTAAAAGACGAATCGCAATTTTTCATACAGGTTTATTTTAGTTAACAACGTTATCCTCAATTCACATTTCTGTCTCTCTGATAAGAAAACTACACTGTCACTTTTGAACAATGTTGCTTTCCATCTAAAATTTTACACTTATTAAACAACCATGTGCTATAATTTTGGCCAATTTCAAAATTAGAGTTTGATGGAGAACTTTTCATAAAGCATTTAAGGCGCTCCAGAAGTGTATGTACCAGTATAGAGGTATCTAATTTTGTTCGCCTACTTTACATCACGTTGTATAAAAGAAATGAAACCTATGGGTATATTTACTCGGCTAACACAGACAATCCCAAAACTCGTAAAAGAACTAAAATGAGGGAAAATCGGAATAAAATTATGGCCTAACCTTAACCTGGTAGTCTGTATACACTACAGGAGTAACCACATTTACAAAATAAACAACTTCGAAAAAGCGCTCCACCAATATTTTAGCTGGATTATGATTTACTATGTAAGTATGCTAATATAACTTACCCATAGTGTCTCCCCAACCTGCTACTCGGCATTTTGTTCCTGGTTTTGGTGCACTCACCCCAAATTGTGGCAGACATATAGGACGAATCTTTGGTGTTAGTTTCATTGGTTTTGGAAGTTTTATAAGTGCAATGTCATTCGTTCGTCTCTAGAATATAGAAATACATATAATTATCAATTATCAAGATTTTTCAAGATTTCTCTTCCTATTTTATTTTCTTCGAATTATTGGATCATTGCATGCTTCAATGAACTGTTTTGGGTTACAGAAGGTTCGTGATGTATTAATTCATGAAACATCACTAATAAATACTCTAATTTAGAAAATAAGTACGTAGTGAGAAAACAGTATACAACTTTCACTTCATTTTGGGGGCATACTGTTAAAAATGATATAAAGTAACTTGAGTGCAAATTTAAATTACTTATCTCTGCAAACATATTATAAAACTGTTCTATATTTGAAGACATCACAATCGATTTGTTTGATGAAATCAAACAACAACAACTTCAGGTTTCAAACCTCGTGTACTTTCATTATATTGTTTATATAGGAAATATTTAATTTACCTTCAAGTGATAATTTTCGTGTATTGTGACCATGCTTTCATTGAGTGCAAATATCCGAACTGTTTTGTGGTATCCCGTTTTCACATATCTTCCTATGAATAAGGTTCTTGCAATTGAAAGACTAAACACAATTATGTTAATATGTGTGAGAAGAAAAAAATAAATAATGAAATCTTTTATTAACTTTATATAAGATTTTGTTTTCTGTTTGTTGATTTATAAAAGTTGATTATACAGTTAAATGAAAAAAGTTTTTATCATCCCGACATTGGCAAAAGCGTAATATGGAAACTTACTCAATTGCAGTGTTGTTTGTATTAAGAAAACAATGCGCTGCTGTAAGAACCCATGATCGGCAGATGAGAGTTGCTCCGCATTGAAGCTTTCCTCCCGACCATATCGCTGCCTAGAAATAATTTAAAAATTTATTGATATAAATCAATATATTGAAAAATTACAAAATATTTACCCTGAATAAATAAAACCAGGTTCGGTTTTCAATTGTTACAACAAACTATTTGAAGACATTTTTATTTTGTTGCAAAACAGTGTGCAATAAATGCATGTGGACATTAAACAATAAGAGATCTAATCTAAGCATTACATAATTTAATTACATTTCGTAGGTTTGTTAAAAGTGAGTGAGTCATATAAACCTTCGACTAATGTATATCGATCCCCATATTTTGCGATCGGACACATAAACACACATTATCATTATTTATCGAGTTTCTTTTATCGCTATTACGACTTAGACAAAATTACTTTTTCCCAAACTAGAAATGAAATATTCACAAAGTTTGTGACATAATATACAATTGTTGGAATAGCGTCAGTGTACCTATCATACAAAGAATTCCATGCCAATAGTTTTCGATGTAAAATTTATAACGTCATAACTACCTTCTGCATTGACCTATACTTCTTCAGGTCTAGAATCAATCAGTATTTATTAGCGTGTAATTGATCGTTATAATCTTTTATATTTCACGTATCTTTAGACATTTATTTCGGTGGCCGCTCTTACTTCAACTCAGAAATCAGTCTACTTTGAATCCGAGTGAGTACGCGTGACATTTGAGAAAATTATTATAGAAAATGTGTTGGCCAAATTAAAAGACTGGTTTGCTTTAAAATAGGATATATAATCACTGTCTCACCATCCATGGCCAAGAGTTTCTTTCAACTTGCTTTCCTCCAGCAATCTTTTTAACGGGTTTCCACGTTCTTCCGCAAGATGACGCTGAAGAGGTTACTTCACATGACCAAGGACAAGTGGCAGGCTTGTAGTGATTTTGTTTCAAAATTTTAAAATATATATTCAAATAATGTTTTTTATGAATTTTTAATTTCATATTATTGGCATAATAAAATCCAATTTTCTTCGTCACAATTTGTATTATGTAAATGTCGCGCCTTTTTAAACAATTGTTCACAGCCGATTACACCAGAACTGTAGAATTCAACATTAAGACAACTTTCAGTAATAGGAGTTTGAAATCAAAACCAATTTCGCAAATACCAAACTCAAGTTTTGGCGTTTTGCTGAAACTCAAATTATAGAGAAACGCAGTGATATACAAAATCTACTACAAAATAATTCTATTGCAAATTTTATTGCTTTCAAGAATACAACACAAGAAAATGTGATTTGAAACTGCTGAAAAAAATATTGGCCACTCACAGCTGATGTCGTTGTTTTCATCGTAATTGGTAAAGATGTGGTATTCACTGAACATTAATTGTTAATATGTTAACTCGTCTAATGCCCAAGCATTCACAAATATCACTTCTTCTTTTCAAATAAAATGAAAAATGTGACATATTAACACAAAATGAACAAATCTTATCTATAGGCAAACAATATTATATTGAACTAAAACTCACCGAAATTATTTGAATTTTGTGAGTGGACGTAATGTCTAAAAATATACAAGATAAATAAATGAATTATTCAATAATAAAATTGGTGAATGTATCGAATACAAATAAACTGAGTTTTGATAAAAAAGATAAGATATATATCTGAAGATGTAAATAAACTCTCTTGATCTAATTCTGACAGTTTTAAAACAAAAAAAATTAAAAATTTGATTCTCACCTGTTCAATACCACGATCAATAAAACAATAGGATAAAGTATACATTTATCCATTTTATTTTCAGCTGACAATGTAAAAAAATAAACAGACAAATGTATCGGCTATATAGGCTAACAGCTCCTAATATTTTAAACACACTACCACAATAAATATTGTTCGAATGTCCTCAAATAAAAATAAAAATTCAAGCGATTTTACGTTCAAGGATATAGTCTGCTTTAAAATAGTATGATAAGTTCAATTAAATATCCCCAGGGCATATATCGATTATGACCGATATAATCGAAATTTAATGATTGGTAATGATTATATACTTTTAAAACAAAAAGTAATTCGGCTCCGACAAGGATCTTTTGTTAAAATTACCTCGTCGGCACATTATGTTCCTTCATTCATGTTAACTCACATATTATATTGTCAGTATACGAAACCTAAATTTCTTGTAGACGCGTGTGATCTCAAGCAAGCAATACTGTCATAAAAAAAAACTATATATATAAAATTGATAAGGTAATTATGAATCTTTAGTGTATCATCGACCAAATTTGAAAAATATAATTACGCGAACAAAGGTAACTTTTAATGAAGTGACTTTCAGATACAAACGCGACTGTCTTCGTTGCGTCTTGTCATAATTATATAATTAATTACAAGCTCATCAGGCACACAAGACTAACTGTTACTACTGCTTGTTATTTCCTCAATCTCCCGATCTCCCAAAATACCTGAGACCGGTCAATAAAAAATGGCAAGAAAGTCGTCGAACGTTCAACAATTGATCCCCTAAATATTTAATCCAACGCATAAACTAGATAAAAATGACTGTTTAACCCCACACCGTGTGCTATTTTATAACTTCCAACAAAACTCTTGACCCATAACTACAACCTTTTTAAATTTTGTCTTGATTTAAAATACAAATATTCAAAATTGACTATGTTGTTTTTAATATTTTTGTACGGTCCTAACGATTCGGCGAATTGAAAACACGAAAAAATGAAACGAACAAAATTTAAATCATTTTCGAATATTGGATATACTTACAAATTCCTGCTTTTTCTTTCAAAAATAGTCATTTTTGTTTCTTCTGTTTGTTTTTAATTTAGAATATGACTTCATTGTTAGTCTACTAAATATAAATATAAACGGGATGTGCAGCTTGAAAACGCCAAGGTAGAAAGTTCCTTAGATCTCGATAACAGCGTAAATTCACATAAACGGCGCCCCCACATCAATTTAGATTCGTTGTCAAAAGTTAAATGTTTCCTTGCACGACATATGCACCTAACAGAAACAAATATATATTCTTGAATGTAACATAGGCATTCATATACAGATGTATATTGGCCTTTCTACGGCTGGTAAAAATTATATAAAGATCAGGTTGCTGCTGTTGCCGTGATGGTCGTTGTCTAATATCTGATATATATTTGTGTCAGCTCTTGTATAAGTGGCATTGTATTTTTCAAATCAAATTGTTTTTGTTTTGTTGTGTGTTTCTAGGTTGAGTTTGATATAAGATTGCAAATTATCTTGTTAGTTTAGCTTGATTGTTTAAAATGTAGGTGATGAATGTTATTCAACCAGATATACTGTGCTGCAAAGGCACACGGCGTAAAAACAAACTGCTAAAGATGTAAGGACTACTTTGACTGAAGCACTACTGGTCAATATTGACAGTGAAATTGTGTGAGCAACCACGCAAAGTACGGATTGATTGACAGTAATGCCTGTCGTAGGTTCATTGGTAAATTGTACATTGATACAATTTCTTGAGAAATTTGAATTTCTTGTTTTGAACGATCGACTGAAAGTTGAAGATAATATCAATTTAACACGATTGTTCCCTTGTGCCTTTCAAACTCATTTGATTATCAAAGATCGACGTCATTATCTTACTTTTTATAACATCATTATTAAGATAAATATAACATTAACAATTATTAATCAATTAAACAATCAAAGCATCGATGACTCGCAATACTTGCAATTGCTAGTGTAATAGTCAGCAAAACATAAAACCGTATAGTAAAGTTGGCACTTTCCTTTTTGTTTTATGTGGCAAACTTGGTGATTAAAGGCTATTTTTGCGATTTAATTGTAGAAGACTCGTGAGTTTGATTTGAGCAAACTTGTTTGACAGAAACCTTTATTCGTGCTAGACTGGAATAGATTTTGACTGTACGATCTGAAATATACGTATATGACCTGACTCAAGTGTTGACGTAACTTAGGCATTTATGAAAGAGTATAAAATAGTCTGAAACTAGATTTATTTTGATATTGAATTTATTAATGTGTTTCCACATAAATGTATATACATTTCTTTCGAATCCGAGCAATTTGATTTAATAAATTTCAAAAATATGAGTAAATTCCTGACATGGCGGGTTGTCTCATACTCAATTGTCTCAGGACGGAGTGAGAAGTTTATCAAATTTACTAATCTCCGAATGATTATCAACCACAGATTCATATCAGATCAGACAAAATCTGAAATAAATGTGACTATAACTGCACTTAACATAATATATCTTACTTGAATAGTAGTCCACCAAAGGGAATTTTGTACTAGTAAGTCACAGTGACAGAAGATGTGCTTTAACGGTAAAATTTTAAATGGTATCGCGGTATTTTCTTCCATAATATTCCAATATTTTTAATCACAGTACAATGGGTACTCCCGTAGTACATAGGTTCTCAAAGTGCTCCGTACGGAGCCCCAGGGCTCCGCGAGAGAATCCCAGGGGCTCCGCGAGCTATTCGATTACTTTTCAAAATAATGACTTGGCTAATTTTGTAACTGTTCAAAGAAACTTTGATGAATTTTGACAACAATATAGCCTCGAAATAAGGCAAAGAGGTGGAATTAAAAAACGACATTATTTATAAGCTGGAGCGCAGCCAGGATTCTTAAGAGGGGGGTTTGAAATTGGAATCGGAAATTCTCGCACAACATTCTTCGCGATTAGAAAAAACGGATAACGAGATTTTTGTTGCGTAAAATATTCAATTCATGACCGATGCAAGCATTAAAAGCGTCTTGTCGTAATAATTTAATTGTGCTCATCATTACTCACGTTTGATTCGAGAGTACTATTAGGATTGCTGAAATGAAAGAATACTAGTCTAAAATAACATAAAATACGTGATAAACTGTCAACTCTAAATAAATTGGAGTCGTATTTTTGCAATCTTGGGATTTGTCAAACTTGATCTATTCTTTCGCACTTGAGATTATTTTTGAGCAAGATATCGCCGTTTAAAAAATCACAAGGGGCGGGCAAAATACAAACGATTGAAAATCATTTTATTGCATGCGGCTCCGTCGTTAGTTTCAGAATAAAAAAAAAGGTACATCGCGCGCACAATTGACTGTTTTTCGATTTAGCAGTTACTACGATGAATAACCAAAGAATACCTAACATACCACTAAATTTTGTGATTTACAATGCCTATAAAAGCGTTTTTAATTTGACCGTGAGTCTGCTAAAAACCAAACCCATAGTGTGATCTTCCATTTTGAGTTATAATATTTTAGAATGTTTTTCAATCAAGAAATTTAAGTTGCGGATTTACCTCTTTCTTATTATTTTTAGCATTTCATCGCCGATGACTATAATATGGTAACATGATTTTCTCATTAAACTCATAATTTCCCACGAGAACAAAAAAGCAATCATCGTTGTCATTGTGGAACAATACATGTATATGCCGAAGAAATTTTTTGATTTAGGAAAAATAAACACCGGCGTAAAGATGTTTAAAAAACACGCCATGCTGATGAAAACAATCGGCGATTGTAACAAAATGCAATCGCGCACGTTATTAGCGACCTTTTAAGTCTTACGAAAATGTCAAAAGGGAAAAGATTCGACCCCCAATTTATTAATATGTTTGTCAAGTGTCAAATTTACAGGTTTAGTATATATAATTTATCTTTGAAATTTAGATTTATATATGACTTGTTAACCCTATTAAAAAAGGTTTAGCATTTAAATTAAGTAAAGTAGTTAATTTACCCAGGAATATTAATCGGAAAGTAACAATTTTAACATTTATTTTGGGGCTCCGTGAAAAATAGTCAACCTTTTCAAGGGCTCCGCAACACCTGAAGTTTGAGAACCCCTGCCGTAGTATATGTACCAGGTTAGTGTTAGGCCATAATTGCATTCCGATTTTTCCTATTTTAGTTCTATTGCGGAGTTCGGCGACTGTCCGTGATAGCCAATGAATATACCCTCTTCCCAGTTCCTTTACACAACTTGATGTAAAGTAGGCGAACAAAATTAGTTACCTACATAGCGGTACATACACTTCGAAGCGTCGTTAAATGCTTAGAAACTTTACTAATGCCCACGGTATTCACGCATATGTATCAGAACTCAGCAAATAGGTTTTTGTATAAGTCAAACCCGAAGTAAATATAGCATGAACGGCCGTTACCCAAATAGTAAGTAGTCTTTTAAGTGCATTTGTGCGATCATTTTGCACTGGTAAGTAACTATGAAATAACAGTGAAACAAGCTGCGTTTTGTTAAAATTAGCGAGTTGGATCAATTTTTTTGTTTCGGTTTCAGTTTTTTGAGACGTTGCAATGTTTATGTTCAGGAAACTGCATGCATGTCTCAGCGGTGCAAGTACACCGATGTGAAAGTTTATTTGAATACTGCAGATTAGCAAAAGGTATATATAAAACGGAATTCATGGGCGTCTAGATGATCAAAGGTAAATTATTGTCATTTCACACATGGTAGGACCAATAAGTGAGTGAACTTATGGGTTTTCGAAAGGTGTAACGATTCGTATATATTATGTTTAGAAAGTATTTTTGCCATCATATATGAATGTGAAAGTTTTTTGGCCTTAAATTGCGAAATATGGCGATATAGCTATATGCAAACAATGAGGATTTGTGCCAGTTATTATATTGGACAAATTTTATTAGAAAATGCTGATGTTGAGAGATAAATAAAATGTAAGAGTATGATGAGCACAGCATCATGGCATACTACTGCTTCATGCTTTAAAACCTGGATAAGAGACGCATTGAGCACGTTTCACCTCTTTCATTGGCTATAGATTACTCATTTCTTCAGAGGTATATTTGTTCAAATATAAAAAATTCGTTGTTGAACCAAAAAGCCGTATGTAAATTAGCAAAAATAGCCGGAGCATATAGGAAATTCTTTTGAGTAACGTACAAACTAAGGAGCAATACTTATACCGGACATTGCATCTCTATATTTAGACATAAGTCATAGATTTATTGAATGGGCATGTGACTTGTCATCAAAGGAAAAGTATTTTGGCGGGATTATGCAAAGATATGACTCAGCTGTATGAGTTACGTGGGCAACGATGATGCTAATGCAAGAAATTTTCCCATGCGTGGGTTCGCGGTGTGCGATTTATTTTCTATTTGTTTTTTGTTCTTTTTGAATTATCAATAAAAATGAATAAATTCAAAAATATGTAGAGGCTGGCTTAAATATCAAGATATGTTGACTAAGCGATTATTGCTAATCCGATCTTATCATATACCTATCCCTAATTTCTTATACGTTTTATTGTGGTTCCTCTGATCACTTGTCAAATGCCTATGATTTGAAGTGGCCAAAATGCATAGCCGTTGGCATAAACCTGGCGACAATTTATAGCATTGTTGACAAATGGCATGGATTGCAAGGCGCTATATTTGTGACAAAACACACTAGTTTGTTTTCAAGTCGCCAATGTTGATGACTGTGCTTTTCTCAGGTCAAAAAGCAAGTTTACGTCACAAAAGTCTGGTTTCAGTTTTATTTTTTGTTTGTTTGATCTAGAACACTCGTATACTTGCACGTAATACTGAAAAAGCTGCTAAATAAGGATGTTTCTCATTATAATTAATTGCATCTTAGATTCTGGAAAATAACTAAAAAATACGTAATCGAGTGATAACAGGTTAGGAGGCATCAGGTTAAGAGAGTTGTGACTAATAATCACATAAAAAAAACTAATAGTATTTATACAATTTGCTAAATGTTACTAATTTTTAATATTTTTTTTTGAAATATTATTCACAACTAATTAAGATGCAAATTTATTTGGCTTACATCAGATATGCACATGATTAGTCATCGCTTGACCGCTTATACTGAGTTGGATTTGATGTATCTTTTCAATCTTTGGTAAATATGTACAATCAAACAAATTTTGTACTTTTGTAAAGATTAAATTTAACGAATATGAATTTTGTTTCCAAAAATAGGCCAACTGCTGTTGTATAGTCGAAATCACAGTAAAATTTCTATCGCCAGAGGTGAAAATTGAGGTTAACCACCTGAACTATTAATATAAAGTAATATACGCAACCATGACGTTGACATCACAGCGTTTGTAGTAAGTTTATAGAGGATTACAACGTAATCGATACCGTTCAGGATATGCTATAAAAGAGGATGTCGTAATGTGACACCAATGATTAAGTTACCCAATAATTTGAAAAATGACGTAATAGAAAATTGCATTAAAAATTATGTGGTTAAATTTCATTTAAAAAAAAGTTGGTGTGTAGTATGTGCCCGTTTTGAACATTCATGAAAAATTGCAACGCTGTGGAAATTCAAGCGTATCTCATTCAATTTATTTTTATTTTTTCAATTTGTTGACCAGTCTTGGCGCTATATATATAAAATAGGCTTTACGATAAAAAAATAACCTGTGTTTGATTTATAGAATAGTATGAAGTAAAATTTAAAAAAGCAATAATATTTGCAAATTTTCAGAAATTCTCATTTATTTACTTAATTTACTGAATTTTAAATCTGAATTTGAATGTTTTTAAATTTTGTACAATCTTCTATGGAATCTACAATCTTATATCGATATAATACCACTCATATAGAATAGGCTCACGTTGCGATCAATAATATTCAATGTATATGTCCATTCAAAATATTTTCAATTGGCTAGGATATAGTACTAGTTAGTAATAAAAGAAAAATCCGTGAAGCAAAGAATTCTGAATATGCTTGTTTATGTGAATATACTACGACTCGGGAATCCAGAAGCGAAGTGGGATTGAAAATGATGTGGTTATGACGCAACTCATTTTGTTTTCAACTATGAAATGCCCGTCGGCATTTTTAAAATGAACAAGTTATCGAATATTCATCTATAACTATACTACATTAAGAGTTATGAACTTAAGTTTTTCCTTCTATATATCGGAATCCGTCATGTTATGACGCATATTCTTCAACAGCATGTTGTGTCATTCAAATATAAATATTTTACGTTATTGTTGACAGCGTAGGTGGGCTATATATATTTTGATGATTTCTATAAACGTTTTCAAATTAATAAAGGTATTCAAACGAAGCATGCAGTGACTAGAACTTGGATTAGTTTGGACCTCAGCATGAACGCTTATCTGTTTTGAACGTATTTGTTAATTATTCTTTTTCAAATGAGTGTGATACAGACATATGGGCAGCAATTTCTTGTTATGTACCAGAATCTAAAGGCAGGTTGTTCAAGCGTTGTTTAGACTTGGTAGTGTGAGATTATATGTTATGATCATGATTGACCCGTTGAAATTCGTAGGTTACCCGTATAAGGGAATATAAGTTTCTTCCATATTAGGATGAAGCAAAAATCATATTTAAATGATTACTATATATACTGTAGCTTCAATATATCAAATTTGTGGTCGAAAGAGTTGAAATTTTATGTTAGTTTGCGTTGGATTATCATTTTTTTAAGTTTGGTAATTTTATAAAATTTTTACATTCATTGGTATTTATCGAACTCTATCTAAAACGCCGCAAATTTTTGTTTAGTAAAATCAGATGTCACGTGAATCATAACGTACCCTACCAAATAATTAGCGGAGGATCCTTCTCATAGTATTTTCATTCTATTGATACTAATTAATCACCCAGCATAAAGAGCTAAAAGATTTTACCTTTTGTGTAAAAGCTCTATAGCATTTGCTTTACTTTTGTTTGCCTAAAGATTCGAGTTACTTGTAAATTTTATTTATTTCACAGTTCTTATAAATATAGAAATCAAATTATACGAAACTACAAGATGAGAATACTTTTCGTTTTGAGTTGCAGCTTGTTCTTCGCGGTGATAAATGTGAAAGGTAAGTTTAAATTTTCTGTTGCAAAACCAAACACCGAAAAAAAAAAAACTGGTTCGAGAAGTTCCTCAACCAAGCTCTAGTGTTTTCAAACGATCAGTTCTCCATGAATTTTACCACTCCCCCATTTCGTGAACAAGATTAACCTTTCATTGTAAAAACGTCTTTTCATGGCATTCCAAATTATTTGCATAGATGAAATGTTTACAAAATTTTAATTTTTTTTTTATTTTCAAACCACATTAAAAGTGAAACAACAACAAATATAGTCGATGGTCATATCTAAGCAATATTTTAATATTTTCTACTTTTTTCAGAAATGAAACCTTTGTTATTAGATACATTAAAGATTAAAATAGTCGTTACTTTTTTTCTGTAATGAAAAATACAAAAAATGGTACTCCCGTAGTATGTATACCAGGTTAGGGTTAGATCATACTTTTATTCCGATTTTCCTTATGTCAGTTCTATTTCCAGTTTTGGGACTGTCTGTGTTAGCTAAGTGAATATTCCCCCTGCCCATAGGCTTCCGTTCCTTCACACAACTTGATGTAAAGTAGGCGAACAAAATTAGTTAAATTTTTTCATTTGACCTCATACAATCAGTATGCAATATATTAAAACATAAATCAGCAAATAGCATATAAATAATTAAATATTTATTAAATTATTTTAGGAATCCATGTTCCTATTGGCTCTCCCGAAGAAATAGTTTTGGATGCAGGCCCAGACATTCTTCTTCCTGAAGCAGAAATACATCACGAGCCCAACGAGGTATGTAATTTAAATTCATGAAAAGTCAAACATAACAAGAGTTGTGGGTGCATACATTTTCTACATATACGTGTTCTCAGAAGATAGACACCAGATTTTCAATATTTTTCATAGGGAATTTGTCTAAAGCAAGATCAGTTGCACTAACTCTGAAATATAGGAGATTGGTCGGCGCAATTTAGGATTACGATCTCAGCTTCATAAAACTACTTTTGGTCTCACTTGCTTAGCGTGGTCTCAATCGCATAAGGACATTCTCATAGAATTCAGTTTTTAACCCTAACTCTGTAATCTTCGAGTTAGGGTTAGGTAGGTACTAAAATCATTGAGATCACATACCAAAGTGAGACCGATTGATCTACGAGCGAAGTAACCGGTGAATGTGCCAAGAGCTACCAAGGCTATAAATCAGAGAGTCAATAATATATATATATATATATATAATATAAATAATCAATAATATAGAATTACGAAAATATCGGTCAGAGACCGAAGACTTATCGATCGGAAGTTAGGGGAAACCCCAAAACAGCGCTCTCACTCCATAGTGACACCTTGTGTCCTATCACTAATTAAATAATAACTCGCTAATTATACGACATATTTCATCCAAAATCAATAAGCTTCTGGTCCGACATATGATGAATGCACATGCAAAATCTGGAACAGATTCAATCTCGCTTTCGTGAGATATCGCGTGCATCTAACAGACAAACAGACAAATACCTATCAACATACTTAATAAAATCGATAAATACCTATCAACATACCGATTAAAATCGATAAGTAATAATGTAGAATTGCGCGTTAGTAAATACCTAATGACGCGAGATTTAGATTAGTTCCCGAGAAAACGATTGAGGTGCATTTCAGTGAAAACTATATCGAAAACGGTTATTAAATAATGCATTTCAAATAATTATTGCAAGCAGATGAATTTTACTTCCACATTACGGTAATTATTAGAACTTGAACATTAGTGTGCTATTACAATAAAATTGGATATAAAACTACATTCTGAATAAAAGACGGTATAGACATTTAAGGATTTGATAAGATGAGTATTTAAATGTACGAATCCGAAACTATCTATCTCATTATTCTTAGTGACCTGTGTTGCGTTCGTTTTACTGCAATCAAATATATATAAACTTGGTTTAACCTGTAGATTATAAATAAGTGTAATTCATTTTTATGTGACTTGATGTTGATTTTTCCACGAATCGATTAAGTTTCGACTTCTTTCAGATTTTATGTCTTAAAATATTCAAGATAAATTTGTATTTTCGAGTGCGTGTGAATGACGGTGTTTGATACGACTTTTCATTAATTAACCCTGCTAAAACGCTTAATTAACGTTATTGAAATTGGTTATTTTATTCGAGACCTTTCTAATATATCAAATTATTTTTCGATCAGGATTTAAAGATTTAATTTATTTTTCGATCTTCGCTTTATCATACTTGAGTTTATTTTCAATATAAGATGCAGATATAATTCCCCATAAAGTTGTTGTAAGGATTACTCGCAAGCAGTGGAATAATACATTTGTATGTTTTAAATAGAGATTATTTGTGCATTTTGCTCTGATTTGCATATCGGTGTTTTGGTGTTTATATCGGTGTTTCATGAATCATTCATCTTTTGAATTAAAAAACAAAGACGCCAAATCTCCTAACAAAAATCCCCTGCTGCGGCATAACGCATGAGCAATAAACGGAAATGAAACGTTACGGTTTAGATAAACCATTCAAAAACTTTCCAATGACTCTTCAAAAACCATCAAAAAGGTTAAAACATACTTTCTGCAACAGTCATAACCCTTATAAAATTCAAATAACAGCCATTTTTAAACTAAATTATCAATTTTTAGGTGATTTGAGAGTTTTGATATAAACTTAAACAAATATATTTCGATAACATTTTCTTTTGGCCCAAGTCATACTTTCCCAAACAAACATAAATCAACTATCTAACTAGCTGAGTTCAACGATCTAATTATGTGTCTCTGTGGAAATCTGACTTTAGTCAGAAGAAATTCTGTGTTACCGTGCAACAAGACTCTCTGAATCACAGAATAGAGTATTTCACCCTTGCGGCATCATCCTTACTTTCCATACAGAATCAACAGGGTAAAAAAACACAAGAGAGCAAATATATGGACACGAAATCCAATTCGCCATAGTACGGTTAAGTAATCTGCCACACCAGACTATTGGTACCAGCAGTCAAGATGTCATAAAACATGAAAGACAGCCATCACGATATCATAAAAGCGTGTTCCCATAATTAAAAATCTTAGATAAAATATCAGATCTCACAAAAAAATTAGGAATAAATAAAAGTAATAGTCTTCTAGCGAAACATAACAATCACCAACCACTGAAAATTTCAAAGCAATTGGTCCATTATTGAATGAGAGAAAAAAAACATAATAACAAAACGATTCATATGCCCATTTCGTGTCCCATAATAGAAAGTGATATATGATTGGTCCTACAGAAAACCACTTACTATTGATGTGTTTTATTTATTTCTAGAAATATATAATGATATATACTTCAATAAATAGAATAATAAATCAGTATTTGATTTCCGATATCTGCTCAAAATTTTTTTTTTTTTATAAATTTAAAATTTAATTTTCACTTCGAGATTTTTTCATAATAATTCAAAATATATATATCCTGTTTAGCCTCTAGGACATCCCGAGTATGGTTATGGCGGCTATGGGGGTTACGGTGGGTACGGAGGAAAAGAAGAGTGCCAAGATAAGAAAAGTGAAGGATTTTGTGGATGGGTCGTCAGTACTAAGAAATGCCACAAAAAGAGGAACAGAAAAAACTGCATGAAGAGTTGTGGAGTTTGCCAAGATGGTAATCAATTTTCATAAAAAAAGAACTTCTCTAGATTGCAGCAATGTGTAAATGTATATGACTATACCGTACAACAAGTTTTAGGTATGATTCAAAATGGAATCCTTTCTTTCTTTGTGAATAAAACTTGTACTGTGAACTGGCATCATCATTGTTATATTTTTATACATATAGAACTTATATTTATCGTATTTTATTTACATTATTTATTAATTAAATATAATTAGTTTTATTATCCGACTCTGAACTATATTCAAGCTATCATATATCCCAGCATTCGAGTTCCCGAAAGAGATTTAATCAAGAATATGTGCTTCAAATATATTTGCTAATAATCCATTATTTTTATTCATTGCAGAATGCATGGACACCAGCTACAATTGCTATTTGGCTAATTCATTCCGCTGCGCCAGTTACCTTTTCGCGTATGGCTGCAAGAAATCTTGTCATTTATGTTCAGTCGAGGTGATTGCTTCATTACTTTATTAATTTTATATGTATTTGATTATTTTAAACAGAATTATCTTCCCAATATGAAAACTATAAATAGAATTCAAATGAGTTCATATGTTAAATATATTTTTATTTCTTGAATATCGCATAAATAAAGCATAATATTTTGCAATCATAAAATATACTTTTTTGCAGGTGACTACTGCTACACCAGAAGAAGGTGAGAAAAACTACAAATGAACAATTTATTATTGGACTTGACTTAATAGTTGCTGATGTTGGGTTTTATCCTGGGCTCGTTGTTACTTTTGTGAAAAATCGATTTTCTCCTTAAATAATGTACTTCGACTAAGATACTTAAAGATGTTTGAAACCGCTAGAGGGCGCTGTGACTTCGGAAATATCCACCGAATCCTATTGAGCCCATATTTTGATAAATGTTTTCTATTTTATCCTAATTAATTGGATAATGTTCGTGAGAAATGTGAGGAAATTTAATTCCTCCACACTTGTACGCCTCCGTCAAGATCATCCATTGATTTTTAGCAAACTGTGTGCTATAGGGCCTTTCTTATACTGGGAATATTTGGATCCATATATTTAAACATTGCTCTGTCGTTATGTTCATTATTATCAGCCCTAATTCTTTCTTCAAAATAATTTCCCACCTTAGTCAAGTTTCTAATCAGAAAACACCACGCAATCTTTTAGCGCCTTTACCTTATCGTTTACAGAATGCAAAGACATAATGTTCAACTGTGAAACCGCGACCTCATTCAGGTGTGCAGTATATTGGTTCAAGATGGGATGCAAGAAGACGTGTGGCTTATGTGAAACTACTACGGTAAGTTGCGATATTTCAGTTAATAATAGTAAGTAAATAAGATTTTATACCGCGAGAATAAATCCGGCCAGATGGTCGTGTATACTGTGATTATGAATGATGATGACACGACTGGCGCTGGTTACAAAAATTGATTCAAGAACTTACGGGATTCAATAATTGAACTTGATAAACAGAAAGGTAATCAGTGGTGCATTTGGTCGTGTCCGTTAAAAAATATAAGAATTATATAAGATTATAAGAAAACATATAGAAATTATTCCGAATATTTCGGTACTTTCACTGCTGTAAGTACTGGAATCGTTTTTCTCGATATATTAGGATTGACACATTTTGTCTTTTGGTTCACCAATTACTATGAAAATATGAATATAGTGAAATCAATAACAATTTATTCATTTTTAAGACAAATTCACCCTCAACAACAACAACAACAACCACAACAACTCCAGAACCCACAACCATACCCGAAGAAACCACATCTGGTAATCATTTTTGGTAGTTTTTACTCAGTTTTTTGTTTATTTTCAACTGTTTGCCGTGATGTATGGAACTGAAGCCATGAACTAATATCTTAAAAAAATAAAGTATTTTGTTATTCAAACTAGCGTCCATAACGTGTCCGTAAAATTTGCCGTAGGAAATCTCGCCGCGGGAAATTTCGACGCCTAGGAAAAATCGCAAGAGCTTTTTGCTGTAAAACAAGTATTTGTGATCAAAACAGTTAGGTTTATGAGGTTAGAGTTAGAGTATGCTCTTGAATAACGACTCTTTTTAAAATAAGACGATTTTTCCTATGCGGCGAAATTTCCTGCGGCGAATTTTCCTGGAACCGTTCACAAACATTGTTTTACTTTATACGATTCAAATTGATAAAAACAGTGGTTGCAAATATTCACTGAATTAAAAAGCTGCTCATCTAATTATTTATTCGTGAGAAAATGATTTACATTACCGAGTTTTCTCAACAACAACAACTCATTACGCCAAATATTCGATAATGCAAATAACGAATTGATGGTCAATTGCCAATTTTCTCTATTCTTATAAGCTGTGGTTATCAGTAACCAGAGAAATGAGTTAAATTACAGCAGGTTGCTACAATCAGCGAGACGATTGTGACGACTTTTTTGATTGGTATTGTGAAATATCTATCATAAAAGAAGAATGTCAAAAGTTCTGCGGAGTGTGTGGCACCAATCAGGTGAGATATTATGAATAACGTCATGCTACGATACGTATTGCATCAGGGTGTCCATAAAGTCTCTTCACATTTTCAATTTTGTTATGAAATCAGTTCTCAATATATCTTAACAAGGTTTGTTGTTTTTTAATCAGTAATTGTTAAGTATTTTTACCTCATTTAATACAAATGTAAGGGACAAAACAATTATATGGTATCGATAAATTCCATTTGCAATTTTAAATTTTTTTTAGGACACCATAGTCTATACTTTTCATAAACTCTGATCGTCTGTAAATTAGTACAAATGGTTGAGAATTTAATTTTTTCAGCATATAGATAAGTACAGAAATTAATTCCCAACAAACTAATGCTCGACCGACGCTCAACAAATTGGCAATGCTGTAATTACAACATTGCCAACCTGCAATAAATGACCATATTAGGGTAGGTCACTGTTTTAAGTAAGCGCTACAAACATTTTCTGACGAGAATAAATGTAATGTGCTCCTATTCTGCCTTGCATTAGCCTGCTTAGTTGTGTTCTAATGTAAATGTTGATGAATGCCTTACGTACATCAGGATACTAGGGAGTATTGGCAGGCAATCAATCCGTCACTCAATCTCACACTCGAGGCAAATTATCATGTATAATGACATATGCAACTATTTCAGACAGCGACAACCACGAAGACGACAAAACAAAACAGCACAACTTCTTCAACTCAGATTCCCACAACTTTCACACAGACAGAAATCCCGATGACAGCAAACACTACGTTGACAACGAAGTTGATTGCCAGATGCTTTACAACTGGTATACCTTGAGCATCCCCACAACCGGATCAAACCAATCAAATCATCGTTTAATTTTTTTTCTTCATTTTATCTATATTTTTTAAAATTGGCAATTGACCTTCAATGAATGTTTCGCATGTTATAATGATCGATATGTTCTGATTATTATAAATTTATTGATGCTCATGTAAAATGTGAATCAAGATGACGGACACGAAAAGTAGTATGTGTACCAGATTAGGGTTAGGTCATAATTTTAGGTACAAATTAGGAACTACGGGAGTCACTTGGCTAGTCCCCGACCTTGTAATAGAAATAAAATAAGGAAAATTGGAATGAACATATGTCTTGACCCTAACCTGACACACATACTACGTTCCGGTGTCCGCCGTCTTGGTGCACAATCCACGGGAGCGCCAATTTATTAGTATTGCTACATACCGTGCAAATATTGTATGTTTTCCCTTTCAATTTTAGAACCTACGACCACGGAATACGTACCTCCAAAAACTACTGAATCTTCTGTGGAAAAAGAAACCACGCCAGAACCGGAGCCAACTGAACCTACACCAACTCCACGTAGGTTATTTCTACGCTTTCTCTGGCATTCAACATACCTTTTACATTTAGTGTTCATGTCGTATGGTTTGACATTAGATTTGACTCTAACGACTCAATTTAGCTGTGCCTTATTAGACAAATATTTCTCAAATATTGTGCTGATGCGCCATGAAAATGGCCTAATTGAATAATTAAATCATACTACTGATTGTGCAGTTTTTTTTTATCAATTGTTAGAAGATTAGTAAAATCAAAATATTCTATATATTTCAATCGCACCAAAGGTGAACTGAAAGCTTATTTATCACAAAAAGTCAAAATGCACGATTACTAAAGTGATTCACCAGTAAAAAATTTCTTATTTCAGTATGTATCGATCAGGATCCAAAGAACTGTCATACTTGGGAAAGTCTTGGACTTTGCTATAATCCGAAATTCAAAGGTAACATGGAGGAACTCTGTCCCCTTTCCTGTCAACTTTGCTAAACATTTTGAGGGGAAATGACACTGTCTCGTACAATATACATAATTATATTCGTCTGCCTATCTGCAAAAGTGAGCTCCCGAAGTATGTTTTCCAAGATGGCGTACAACCTGAACATAGTATGTGTAGCGGGTTAGGGTTCAGGTTGTGCGCCATCTTGGAGAACATACTTCGGGAGCGCCTGCAAAAGTTTGTTAGAATTATTGTTTATCCAAGTAAAAATTTGACTTATATTCTCTTTCATTCGTTGAATAAAGTTCAATTTCAATATTGTTTTTACAATTTCTGCAAAGTATTGGAAAGATTTCTCCATATCCATGTATTTCTTGTTATTAATCCGTGTATTTATGTAACAAAAATCAAATGAATATATTTGATCCTTCAATAAAAATTACGTATTGAATTCAAGTCATCCAAACGCCCTAAAGGGAAGAGGTGGATATTAATAATTGCCAAATATAGATTATAGAAATAGTTATATGCATTTAATACATACTTTTAAATACTATAAATTTAAGATTCAAATGTATAAAAATGAAACAATTGTTTTTCACAATATGTCTGAAATTTTTGGGTCAAGATTTTTAGTGAAGTCAGGCAGGTTACTGCTAAAAATATATTTCATTTGGTAAGAGTAAAACACACCCCATGACGCCAGTTCACATCACAAATTTTTTGTTTACGAATTTTAATTTTGCGTTTTGGTTTGAATAAAAGTTAAGTTTATCTTCGAACGTAATGTACTGTAATATCTACATTGACAAAAACTTTTTTCAAATAATGATTGATCCGACGCACATCGTTACGCTTACCTGTTGCCAGAGCTTTTCATGATGTAAATCTATTGATTCAGATTTAAAACTATTGGGTTCAGATCACATCACAATTTGTTTACTGTCAGTTGATGTTGTATATCCTGCAATCGGCCTTCCTTTTAGGATTTACAACTTAATCTGCAGTCATGTATTCTCCACATTCCCAAGACAGTTGACCAGACCCGGTGTTTTTAACATTACTTGTTTTGTGGTCTCCACAGGGACAGGTATTTTAGAAGATTGAGAATCGAATTAGATTTCAGTGAATTTGTCTTACTTTGCCAAAATAAGTCAATTCAGCGCTTGTAAGTGGACGAGTTAGACGAATCAAGTGCAATGTACAAGAATATGTTTTGTAAGCAACTGTGGGCACCATGGCCTACAATTATTTAGAAAGTACATATTGGCATAAATTTTTAATTTTTACTAATAACATGTGAAGAATGCCTTTTTCCGACGAATAAAGTTACATCTAATTGATCATTGAGTTTTTGTCAGATTACGTTACGTTTGTCATGCAGTTAACAAAGTTAAAAACTCTTCAGGTGTTTTTTCGCTATCGTTTATTGGTTAAAGATACCTCATAAGTAAACTCTAAATCAAAGTGCAGGATGTACGTAATGAATTTGGTTCCATTACATTTGAACCCACGTACATTTGAACCAATGGCGATTGCACCTGTATGCTATTGCACCTATGGAATTTTTTTTTGTTTTTCGGATAGTTGAACCCACACTAACCCTAACCCATGGGTTTTAGCACCCGCATATAGATTGAACCCGTGGATATACACATGGGTTCAAATGTACGTGGGTTCAAATGTACGGCCACCAATGAATTTATGTATGTAATAACAACGAACCTTAAATCAAAGTGCAGGATGTACGTAATGAATTTATGTATGTAATATCAACGATACACACATTATACAATCCAGCATTCGAACAGAAAACAATAACTCAAGGGGCGTCTGCGCCTATTCAATGAAAGGTGCAGCTCATCTAAACCAAAATGTGCGTAACGTTAAATTAACAAATAACACAATCACTTACTTTTAAAAATTAGTTTTACTCAGCCAACACAAAGGTGAAATCATTTATATTCATCGCAACCAACGATTTGCTTCAGCAGTCTTTGGTCAATCATTGGAAATCAAGTTGTGCATCTCAGTCAAGTTTTATCCTAACTTGTATTAGAGCACTGAAGATTGTTCGCTTGGGTGGTTTCACAATAGTAACGCAGCGAAGCGTTACCTATAATAATAAACATCGTCCCTCGTTTTCACAGAAGCTTTGTACGCGTAACATGGTCGAGCCAGTCATGTTTCTAAGACGATATAAGCACGCAACTCAAAAATAAGCACTCTTCTTAGAAATAAGCACATCGTTACATTAAAAGACATCGGTTTAGAAAATAGGCACACATCTTAGAAATAAGCACGATATGGTAACCCTACATATAGAGTAAATGAACGAGTCTTTATTTACAACGTAGAGTAAAATACAAATAACAAATAAAACAAAGGGAAATGTATTCTATAAAAACAAAAGGAAATATTTTTACGTGTGCCTTGCCTACTTGCTTGTTTCAGATCTCCCTCTACAATTTCCTACATATTGGCAATTTAAACACTATTTCGTTTTTCCGCATTGTGGAAGTAGAACACAGCAACAAGAAAGGGAAACAGCCATTTGACACGTTACGAAATGTCGAAACACGCCTACGAAACGCCCCATAGTTTCTGGTGAATAACAAGGCGTTTGACCGACATTAGCTTATTTGTTCAGCAGCGGTAGACGATAAGGATGCCTACTACTGTACTAGATCTGTACATCGGCCTTGTATTCAAGGTAAATCTCAGACAGTTAGATCTGGTATCTCCAGGCCGTCAAACAGAGGGATTAATGTTTTCTTTTTTGACTACCACTATAGAATAATTGAATTGAAAATACAATATAATAATAATTCTTTGTATATTCTCTTCAACGCCTTATCTCATGGCTACGGTGGATATCCCAAGTGTATCAACAGAATGTTTTGAGCCCGCCCCGGTGACAGTAGAAGGCGCTGAAGCTCTATCTGAAAGGTGAGTTTTAAGTTGTTTTTCATATTACTTAATATATTCTGGTAAGCTGATAGGGTAGAATTTAGGGTTGTCATTCGATGTACGTTGACAATAGACAATAATATTTAGTATTTCAATATGTTTTGTTTTCATATTCTTTGCATTAGGCCTAATCCTAATCACTGCTAAACTCGAAGTTTAAAAGATATGTGTAGTATAAAGTGTAAAATTTGCACAACGATAGCTGGTGTATATGCAGATCATGTCTTACAAGTACAGTAGCTTGAGGATATCTAAAAATGACAAAGCTAAATATGTAAAGTTAGTTAGCTTAGCTCCTAGTTGTAAATAAATCTTATTCATAGTTGGTGATTGTGAACGACAAAAATCTAAGATGACTGATACAAGTTCCAGCTTTTTCAGACAAAGTAAGTTTGATATAATTTTGTAAATACGTAGTGTTAAATTTGGGGTGAAAGCGGATTTAAAGTATACACATTGTTATTTTTATAAAAATCAATCATTCAATGTATAGTCCTGTAGTCGGTTGAGTTTCGCGAAAAATTCCCAATCAATTCAAGACATTTCACGCTATCAACGATGTGTCAATAGTTCATAGTCTTGTTATATCATGTTTATAACGCTGCCATCAAATAGCGTTCGGCTCCAATTTTCAGTTTAAGTTTATTTACTATGATTATATCTACCTTGCTTGTGAATCAGGTGATTGATAGCGGGAAAATAAGGTCAATGAGATGGATTACCCTCATTTTTAACCAAAATCACTTGTAACTGATAAATACTACTTTTGAATAAATATTATTGAACTAAAAAAACTTAAACTAGTTTACAGACTCATGTAGATAATCAATTTTCTTCCCTTCCCTTATTTTATTCCTTTCTATGCCAGGCTCGAAATCCATGACGAAGCTTATCAACTGTGCAAAGAATATCTGAAAGGACCTTGGGAATCTGTGCCAAAACACGAATTCCGGATATCTCTTTTGCAGTACGTAATATGCTTGTACTAGGAAAACATATTATAATAGTTAATATTGATTCTGGTATTACAGCTTGCTGTGTAATAAGGTGCTAAAAAGCATGGCTCGGATAACTCAGCTATGTCATTTTTAACTGAGACTATTTCAAAGCGATATCTTTATTTGCCATGGAAGTCGAAGCTCGTCACAAACATAAGATATGAAGATGCTGGCTTCTTTCACGCCACCCAATTTCTTTTTGCGACTTTATTCCACCAAAGCGTGTGTGTGATCTGTCACACAATTCAATCTTGAATATTTGAATAAGGCTGAAACTATTTTTTATCTTATGCTGCAGGGGTGGTCTCAGCAATAAGTTGTACATTTGTCGAATTCCCGATCGATATGGAAACTCGGGAAGTCAATGTCCGTGTATAGTCATTCTCAGGATATATGGTTTAATAATAAAGGTTTGTGTATTTTGTTTAATTGTAGGTGCTCTTTGTTCAACTATCGTCATTGGTAGATCGTGTGCGTCCAAAAGGTGTTTTGTCCCAAATTAATCTAACACTTTCCAGGAATTATGGCAGTCGTAATTCGCAAGATTTTACGCTATCTGTCTCAGGAAGAATAAAGTCAGTCAATAGGTTTACTTCAGATATGTGTTTAAAACTAATTCTATATACTGCACCAATGAAAATTTGACAGTAATAAAGGGAAAACGAACATACGCCTGATATATTGCTAAACTTGTACAAATGCATCCCATTATAGCCTAAATATGGTAGCTTATTGCGTTATGTAACTATATAGCCTACCTAATTTTCATGCTACTTGCACCGAAATATTCTTATTTTCGATTAAACGATAGCAATGCCCTTGGCTTAAGCAAATATTTAAATCGATTTATCTATATCTGGCCATGAGTATGACTATCTCTTAGCTAAGTCGTCAAATACCTGCCCATGAAATATGAAACATAATTATCATCAAATCATTTTGTGCGAATTCTGCGTTGTATGTTTAGATTTATTACATTCGAATATGTTATGGTATTTAAATATTTTTGTTTGGTTAAAGGATTTTACAGCACAAATTCAAGAAAGCGTCGTTTTCTCCATTCTTGCGGAACGAAAATTAGGTCCTAAACTTTATGCTGTGTTTCCTGGAGGCAGACTTGAAGAATATATCCCGGTAAACTTCAATTATAGTATTTATTTGGATTTGTGTTTATAAATAAAGTTTTTCTCCGATATTTTATGCGAAAATATGATAAGTTTTCATCACTATTCTGCTTCTAGACTCACCTCATACAAGTTCGGAAATAAATAATTCATAGGAAATATCGAGTATATTTATAGATCATTAGAGCGACGGCGAATTATATTTTCTCCAAGAATTTGTTTTACATGTTACCTACCTACCAATGATTGCAGACGAATAGTCGACTTACAAAATGTTGCGTATGGGTGTTGGAAAAAATATGATATCATTTATCTGCTCTGTAGGTGTATATTATTACCCTTCACTAAAAAATATCAACTCTATTTTGTAGGTCTAAGTTCCATCAGACTACCACACTTATTATTTCATGTAGTTAAATGGATGGTATTACTCCCATATTATTTTACAGTGTCGAGCATTATGTACCGATGATATTCAGAAACCCATTATGTCCAGATATATTGCTCAAAGATTGTCATGTTATCACACCATGTCAATGCCAGTTAACAAACAACCGACCACCATGATGAAGAAACTACTGTTGTGAGTTGATTTTATCTGTTTTAATTACTGCTGATAAAGATATATGCTGAGAATTCTGTATAAATTAGAACTTATTTGCTTTGTAACCACAGATATCATGAAAATCTCGTCCACGTACAATTTGAAGATGGCAGAAAGACAAAAATGTTAAGACAAATATTAAGATTTGATATTGCTTCTGAAATAAATTATATCAGGTATGTATATTTAATCATATTTGTCAGTTTATGGGAAAAAGAAGTCACTGTCCCTATTTTCTCTATGGAAACTGTTTAGCGCTTTATAACATAAGTCAATAGGCTATATATCTTTATATTATGTATATATATTATTCGCCATGGGCGGCTATTTTCATATACCTATTTTACACAGTAAATTATGTTTTATTGTTTGTTTCAGAAACCTCATACAAAATACGGATTCTCACATCATTTATGTTGTTCTATGTCACTATTTTGATAGTTATAATTTATTTCAGAAACTTGGTACAAGACACAGATTCCCCGGTTGTATTCAGTCACAATGACGTACAAGAAGGCAAGTAATATTGTAACATGGGCACCATGTCCTATTGGATTGCTTCATTACTTAATTCAAAGGATGTAATAAACTGAATGAGCAATTTCCAGAAGTAGCAGCTCATTACTCAGAAGTTAATTCTAATAGACAACCTTGTCCAAAATGAAAAGCGCATTGAACGTTGTATAAAACATAGAGATGTAATTTTAAAAGGTTGGGTGAGATGGGTAGGATGCGCTACTTTTCCTTCAAGACACACAATCATCATAATTTTCGAATAACATTGTTGTTAGATCAGTGATTCCCAAACGATGGATCGCGATCCACTGGTTGGAAAAGGAATCTTAGTGAGTCGTGAAAAGATGTAGAAAGCTTTGATTAATTATACTGGTTATTGGGATCGGTGGCGACTCGAATACATGTATCTTCAAAAAAGAAATTAAATTAAATTTATATTCTAATCTGTGGAAGTTTTCTTTTTACGAAATTCTCAAAGGAACAAAAATTTGCTACACGAAGAATGACCATGTGGCTTTTTTACGCATAGCAGTTTTTTTGCTTCCCAAAAATTTAAGGTTTTATTAATTTATCAAAGTTAACTAGGTCACCATAAGACGTGGTAATAAATAGTGGGTCTCAACTCTAAAAAGTTTGAGAACCACAGTGTAAGATGATATCCAGTGGTGAGATTCGAAATTTTGGAACAGGTTCTCTCTTTCATCGAATTCAGTAACAACGGGTTCCCTCATTTCCGAAAATGTATATATGTTACTATGTAATCTTCATTAACATGACAAGCTTCACATAAATCTGATGCATAACTTTAGAAACATTAAATGTAACGCCAGTCGCTTCAGTGATCTAACATATAAAATAAAACAAGAACGGGTTTGCTGATCACCATGACATGGGTTTCAAAGAACCGGTTTGAACCGCCTAAATCTGACCATTCAATATATTATACTGCCCAAAATTATTTTGTTCTGACTTAGGCAAATACCGCCATTCAAACTTAATTTATAACAAACAAAAAAACCTGAAATTCACGAATTTGCCAATCTTTAATTTCTTTTTAGGAAACCTGTTATACCTGGAGGAAGCTGGTAGAAATGCAAACCCGATACGAATGATAGATTTTGAATACAGTTGCTATAATCACAGGTCAGAATTTGACAACACACATTTTCTCAAAATAAATTTGATTTAGTTTTTTCAGACATGATATTTTTCCACAACCTTTCCGAGTTTAATTCCAGAAATGGTAACTAACAAAATCTGGATCGCTTTCGTCACAGCCAAGGCACCGTAAAAAATCAGACTCTATGGTTATCATGTGGAAAAGCCGTTGAGATTTACAATAATATCTTCTCGAGCTCAAAGCCGAAAGATGCTTCAAAGTCCTATTTTGAGATATTCAACGAAGTTATTTTTTGAAATTCAAGTTTATGCATAAGCATATTTTTACACTTTTCTGACCCTTTGTTGCGGTATCATCAAGATTATGTTAGAAGTATTGAATAATATATCAAACTACAAATGTGTTGGAAGTGTACACGGTTTTGTCTCTGAGTTTTTACGTATGATTTTATATACAGAGGATTCGACATTGGAAATCATTTCTGTGAATGGATGTATGACTATAGCTTCGACGAATGGCCGCACTTTGTGTACAAGATTGAAAACTATCCCACTAAAGATCAACAGGTATTCCATCTAAATTTTTATTAGTTTTATATACTGATGGAGCAACCATAAGTGTTTTCTTCGATGAAGGAAACCACCAACTTGTTGACAACTAAACGGTCTTTTAACATGGAAAGTTTGACCGTTATCAGTTGTACTTTGATCGATATAGCAAGCTCGTGGAAACCTGATTTGATAAATAAACCACCAAAAGCACATGCAAAAACAATAATGTGTTTTCTATAAGCCAAGTGTAGTCAGAAATGAACAGGTCAAATTATAGATAACTAAGATTATTTATAGATAATCAAGGTTGAACCAGCATTGAAGGATTGTAATTTATGTATGGGTCATTCGTGATAGCGTTCTATTTTAAACAAAAACTCGGGCAATTTCGAGAGCATTTGTATTGTTTGACTGGCTTATTTCGGAATTCCTTTAATATGAGTCACGCGATGGTAAATCTTGTTTAAAAATATTTACTTTTAGAACGCATAATAAATATGGTAGTGTATTTGCTTTTCTTTTATTAAAGTGTAATGATGAGTGTGTAACACTGCGTTTTGGAGAATTCATGGTCTGTCGCGCTGAAGAAATAAAAAATACAGAATGAAAAAATAATATATAACACTCATTGGACAACATATATATTTCAATAGTTTAAATTAAATGGTTTTATGTCAATTTTAAATATTTTGTATATTTTTAGACGAATTTCATCAAGGCATATATTGAGGAGCATTTTACAGCCTCATCCACTACCACGCATGACGAGAAATGGACTGTTGCTTTCATGATTAGAGAAGCTAATAGGTAAACAAGGAAATTGTGACTTTTATTTCAAATAGACCAAGTTTACTTTGACTATCTAATAAGCAATCATTCGACCGTGAATTTATTCATAAATCGAAATCAGTGTATGTGATACAATAAATGTCATTTGATATTTCCTAAACAGACTACAATGTAATGTACCCAAAATGCTGGTCTCATTAACATTGAAATTTAGTTTCAGGATTGATTTTTATCAGTTCTCTAATCTAATCCGTTTAAGCCAATTTGTATAAAAATATACTGTTGGATGTAATTTTTAAATGTATCAAAACAAGTTGCCAGCTTTGGCAATTTAGGTAAATTTATGAATATTGATTTGATATTTTGTGTACTTTTGAGCATTTCTACTCAGTTTTGGTTGCGAAATAGATTCAATTTGCAAATTCAAAATGAAAATTCACTAATAAGAACAATTTTGAAAAATTTCAAATTTTTTTTAAAAAAATGTACACTCAAACAATCTATGAAAGTATTCTTATAGTAGTGTATAATCATTAATAATTAGACAAATCAGTTAATTTTCAAATATTCATTATCTAAAAAATTTGCAGATTTGCACTTCTTTCTCATCTGTTTTGGGCTCTCTGGTCAGTAATGCAGGCAAAGATGTCAGACATAGGATTTGGATACATGGTAGGATTTTAATGCTGAAAACTAACTAACTAACACTTGATTAATATCATTCGTAGTTGATTAACAATGTAATTATTAAATTTAATATATTGTTAACTGAAAAATTTGTGTTAGAATGTAACATACTGGACTACTCATATACAACTTTTGAATATACTGTCATCGATATTTTGTGAGATAGTAAAAAATTCTGTCTTTGATTTATTTGCATGCAGTAAAAATTGACACGGCATGGTTAATTACGTCTTGTTGCCCAATTACCAGTCCAGTTCAGACCACCCAACTAAATAGTCTAACAATCACGTTGAACATAATGATTTCTCACAGAGTATCAAAGTGTAAATACTCACCGGGATTGAGAGATATTCATAACGCCATAACGCGAGGATTTCGCTACATTTGATAGTTATCAGTTGTACTTGATTTTTTTTTTTAGGAATATGCTATTGCACGAATGGATGCTTATTTTAAACAAAAGTTACTCGTGGAGTAGACTACAGTGACTTACCGAAATATGCGTGACCAAACAAACATTTCAACTCAGGCATATGAAATTTGTCGATATCAACAATAACGATTCGACTATCACATGTTAAACTAATAATAATTCTAACTGTTACGTGTTGAATGGGGTACTAAAAAAGATTTACAAACAACAAGTACATAATATCTTTTTCGTAATCGTTTTATATACTCTTCACTAGCTTTTCATGTGTTTACTTCAATGAAAATGCACCATCATCATGTTTTAATGCAATGATCTATTCATGTGTTATTATTCCTTGTTTAATACATTCAATTTTACTATTTCAAAACGTCAACAAAAATGTAATAAATAAAGACGATCCTGTTTGTTTAAATGATTTTAATTTCTGAATATATTTGGTATAAAAATGCCCTTCGGTTCGTTTTTAATTAAAAATTCAGGGATTTTATCATTATTCAATATAGCTCGAATGCGAACGATTTTTCTAAATGCCTCTCCTAAAAAGCAATTTTTGCTACTATAAAGCGAAACGATTTTTTCTACTCTCAATGCTGTTATTGGGTTCTGCTCTTTCCAAAAACAAAGCCACCTTGTCAGTGTGTCTGTCCACCAATGTGACGTAATTACGATGAAAGAGATAAATTATGAGTACTGAATATTATCATGTTTTTATCTCATATACTTCCTTTAATTTTGATACCTTGTGTGTCCTATATTGAACTTACAATGTTTTATTATAATTATGCATAATGTTTGCAGCTTCAGTTTTAATTATTTTCTGCCTATTATATATTCATTACATTGTTTGTTGGAAAAATCTAGCGATGCATTTGAGTTGTCTTATCTCAGACATTAGCGTATTTTAGTTAGACGTGGAAGGAAATATTCGTCTTTTATTGCTAATATTTTTGTGTCTAGCAATGCATTTGAGTTGCTTTATCTGAAATATTAGCATACTTGCGTTTAGACGTGAGTTGAATTCATGGTCTTTTTTTAATTATTATTATTCGTCTTTTATTGCTAATATATTTTGTGTCGCGTAATCGTTAAATTTTCGGTTCCGAAATACCACAAATGTGAGATTTTTGAGAAATGTGGAACTTTCTTACTTTGCGTAACAAAAAAGATTATGATATTCGACAGCAAGCTTGTTCTAGGCAAAGTGTTGAGCCGTCAAATAAATTGTATAGACTAGAGCGCTGTCAAAAGAGTTAGAATCGACCACTAACGCGATAAACATATATATTTTATACGATAAACGAGGAGGCTGTCGATGAAGTTTAAATTCAATACTCACTGTCTGACAAACAACTACACAGAATATATTCACAAATCGAATATACTGGAGAACACCTTTGGCATCTCGCTACCCGATGCATAAAAATCGTGAAATCGTTATAATTCCTAAAAGTATCGTCGGAAAGACAATAAACTATACTAGGACACATGGAGCTTTGTCAAAGCAGCGTTAACGAATGACTAAATTGATAAAAGATCATACTCTGGTAAGTAACATGATGTTGAGTAAAAATTACTGTTGGTTGTGGATTTGAGCTAGTACGATAGCAGATTATGTAGCCTAATTCTATTGCGATTCTTGGAGATTAAACTATGATATCCTAACTGAGTAGACTATGTCGAGACAGTGAAATCCAATCGCCTCGGAATCAAGATGAAATAGGAGGCTGCACAAGATAACCATTGTATCTACTGATGCTCTTGTTGGCGAGGCTGCTTCCTTGTTTTATCATCCTTTCTTTCTTCATTGATTAAATGATCAATTATGTTTATTTGACCCAATAAAAATTCAGTTATATAAATAAAGGCATCAGATATTGTGAGACAGGGCGCGCATACAAGGTCTTGTTGACCTAAAACACAATTATGTAACGCATAACCCCTGGCGAATTATAAAGACAGTCGACCTGACACAAACAAATTGAATGATTCAATAATATAAATACATTGAATAACATGCAAACTATGATCATACTAGGAGAAAGATTTTGGAAGGGGAGGGGATGAGTGATAATACAATTTCACTCTGATGAAATATGGGAAAACATTCATTATAAACAGAAGGATCAATATAAATACATAAGGTTATATTTATTTAAAAATAGTGAAATGAGATTTATTCTTCATCTCGCAGTTATATATAGTTTGTGGTCATCACTGGTCAACTACCGAAAGATGAGAAGTAAAAGGAAACACTTATCAGATCGATAGATTGGATTAATGTTTCTGCTACTGCCCATGTAAAGAAAAAGCTATAAGCATAGAATTTACAACTGAGCAATTGTCAATAATGGACGTTATTGCATACAGGGAAAAAAGCAGAGCGATCTGAACTGCAAGTTTCTCGATTTTCAAAAACTGTCTGTAATAAATTCGCAAACATATAAAATAACTTTCAGTCAAGTCTTTGGAAAGTTATCAGAGACTGCAATTCTCATTCAAAATCAACGAAAGTCAATCTAACGGTTTTTGACTGCAGTTTGTGTATCACTTTACTAACTGAATTCATTCGGTTCTGCTCAATTCTGGCAACCTGTTCAACAGTGATGTCATTCTTATCAGAAGATATCTTTGTTGACGTAACGCAAAAGTCTGGGGAAGGTGATAGCATCCTTGTTACCTTAAATAGTTGGTCTCCAGGCAGAAGCATTTGCACACTTGTTTGTTTTATTTTGTTGGTTGTACGATCCTGTCAAAAGAATTAATATGAAGCAAAATACTTAAAAATCAATATGAATATAATCTAATAATAAAAGCTGGTCAATATAACGATGATGATGAACTATAGGCATTAAAAATAAACTTACTGGATATCCATTTCATCCATCGCCTCATTACCATCACGCATATATATATACCGAAGAAACATACAATACTTTAATATGAAGCACACCACAATTACCCAAAAAATCATATTCTGGACGAAGGTGAAACTGTGGAGCAGTGGTCGGCAACCTACGGTCCGGATTACTGAATTATAGTAACAAAACAACTGTTTAGTTAGACGATTATATTTTTCACGTTACACAATTCATTGTGAGACGCGTGTAGACTAAATTATATTATAATATAACAAGTATAAAATTAACAATTACTCGTTTAATGAGCCCATAAGTTAATTATAATTAGACAAATGGCAACAAAACGCAGAAAAGTTGATGAGAAGTGCAAAGATTTCAGTGGTGCCGAAAATGCAATGCAATGAGGAAATAAATTTATTTTCTATTCGGGAGATGTATCACTGCTTCATTTTTATTATAAAAAGTATCATCCGTTCGGTTTTTATCTTTCTGAAAAAAAAAAAATGAAAAATAGGCGCGCCAATGACTTACAACCCTTATTTTGACCGAGCGACAAAAGGTTGCCGACCCCTGCTGTAGAGTGTAGTAGACCATTGTACTTACTAGTACCGGTACAGCAAATGCCCTGGCTTTGTCAGATCCTGTGACAATAATTCATCATTTTGCGCCAAAGTAAATGAAATGCTAAATGATTCGACTCACATCTGTACTGTATTATTGAATAATTAACAGTACTTTACATTTTACAGTAACGTACCGTACTTACCTAGAGTGCGTCACCGGTATATCGAAAAACTTCCCGACTTTCGCATCGCAAGATTTTGAAAAATCAAAACGCAAGACAGTCGTAACCATTGCCGAATTAAAAACCGTGTTCCATGAATAAAAAATATTGAATCGAAATTTTGAATGAAAAATCAGATCCCATATAGAATTAGTAGAACATTTAGGAATAAATAAACATTAATAGTAGACTTCTAGCGACTACAATAATTGGAGAAAATTTTTTCACAACAACAAGACAAAAAATACTAACACCAACTACAACAATATTAATAATAACGAAACGATCCATAGGCCAATTTCTTGTCCAATAAAAATGACAGGCTCATTCTGGTTGAATATATTATGTACACATGTACATACTTACTTTATTCTGTAATTTGTACAGGAAAGTCGATCCTGCAGGTGATTTTGTCCATTGTACGTCAATTGGACTCCCAATACATACAAACGTTGTGATAATTTCTAAATTGAAACATCAATAATACAATTCCAACAACGTGCACTCTTATTTTATAGATTTTATACTAAAAATAAAGTTCATAAATACCACACATAATATTTTATCAACGTTACTGATTTACCCTGATAAGTATTGCACAATGATGAGTTGTACACAGTTTTTAAATAATCGTGAAAAGTGCCCCCATAAAGGTAAATGAATAATACATTACACTATAATCGATTCTAATATTAATCAACTTCGAGTCGCGATGGTTTGGTATGAATGCCTAAACATTACTATGCCTTAATGTGATATGTTAGTGTTATTGATGCTACTCGTTCACTAACAAACTTTATTATTGCAGTGGGTTGTATTTAGTTCTCTGCTGGTCAGTTATTTTAAGTAACAATAATTCAGTATGGCTTCAAGAGCCATTGACATTTTATGGTCAATATTTTCATTATCTGTTTATACTAAGTGTTTGGGCTGTAAGATTGGCGAATTTTCCTCAACAAAAACCTACAATATTACCTGATTGTCCTTCAGTAATTGATCCCAACCATGAGATTGATTCTGTTGGTTCGGTGGAATTCACTGAGGTGGTATTATCTGATTTGGTGGAATTCATTACCGAGGTGTTATCTTAAACATAAAAAAGATCTGTAAGGGTGTCGTTCATTCAGCATATCCGACATTACTTTATACATTGAGTTTCACAAATATTAACAAAATAATATAGTTTGAGATTAGGATCCTAAGCGATTTTATTGTATATTGTTTATACAGATTGCAATTACACCTGTAAAAGAAAGAGTGTAAAAATACAAAGAACATGAATTAGTGTGAGTTATACTTTTCACAACTGTCTGAAAGTAAAATTCTAAAGAAACAAGAATTATTTAATCATATAAAAAACTAACGAATCATCGATATTGAACGTGGCTAACCATTACCTGGGCAACAAAACTTCACATTATAGTTATTGCAACTTCCATCTTCTTGCTCAGAATGCAAACAGTAAATTCCATCGATGCTCATATGTACTTTGTCTCCCCCCTCAAGATAATGTTTTCCGTTTTCTACTTGTGCCATCGCATTAGTTGGATTTGCACAAATATTTGTGTTGTGCAATTGATCTTTTATCAGAGAAAGAAGCTCGAAATCCCCTCGACCTTCAGCATAAGGATAAAAAAGGTACCAGTACCGGTAACCGACATCAGCGTCAATCCATTTTGTCCAAGAATCTCCAGGGCATCCTAAGAATAAACATAAATTTATTCGAACAAAATTGAGCTGTCATTCAACGGCGTTTATCAACGGCAAGTAATCATTATTGTGAGGCTTGTTGCAAAACTAAGTTGACAATTTGGTTTAAAGTAAAAAATTCTATGTCAAAGATTTTAATATTTTAGGGTCGATTGACGACACAACTATGCTTCACACAAGACGCAAGTTTTTTGCGTCAAAAAATATTTGCTTCGAACAATATAAAATCATCCGGAAATCTCTCCGAAATCTCTCCGGAATTCTCAATTTTTTATTGTCAGATTGTGGAGTTTTCGAAATAAAACTACCATAAATGCTCGTTTTAACGCTCGATCTTGATTAAGGGCCCGTTTGAATAGCCGCCCGTGTGAACAGAACATAAAAATAAATAAGGGCCGGTGCTTGAATACCCGCCCGATGTAAAAGCTGATTTTTCAGCGGTAGAGAACAATAGGAAATAAGAAGCGCTTTTTTCACAACGCTGTTGAATTTTAAGCGCCGGTAGATAATACTCACGCCTTAGCCGTTCAAGTACATAACGGATAGCATTGATTACGTACAGTGGCGCAGCCAGGGGAAGGAGGGGGTCAAAACTACCTCCCTCTTTTGAATTTTTTTGAAAATAGAAAAAGTCGCCGATAACGCGTACAATTGCCTTTTGCTAGAATCGCCGAATGTTTTCATCGTCGTGTCGTGTTATTTAGGCCGTAAACGCCTTTACGTTGACGTTTATTGTCTATAAATCACAAATTTGTACCACGATAACGATGGATGACAATTATTTTATTTTGTTACTTGCATGGAATTGTGCATCCGGTGAGACTTATTATATGCTCATAGGCGGCGAGATTCTAAAGATAAATTAATGAATAAATAAATACATGACCTAAATTGTTCGATTGAAAAGCGGCAATATTAAATACTGAAAATAAAACCGTAAACAAGTGTTGTTGAGGCCCGCGACAGTCTAAAAACGCTTTTCTATGCATTGAAAATCGCGAAATTTCGTCTGCCTACGGCACACATTATGTTCCCTCCGCGTTTAGAACATATCGTCAGTAGAATCGAAACAAGGTGAATTGTGAGCGGGATTTACCTTGTTATCCATTACTTTAAAATTGCCGTCGAAAATGTTCGTGTTAACATTAAACAAGGTTGAGAACGCGACTTTTCCCGGTTTGTGATGATGTATAAGATAGTTAATCTATAAAGTACATTCGAACAAAATTTATTGTACTGAAATAAAATTTATCCGTGAGATTAAAGCAGAATTACGGATTTTTCGGAACGTTTTATCTTTAAAAATAATCGGAGTGGCAGCTTTTCGATTGAAGTACATCTCAAATTTGTGGAATTTGCAAAAAAGCAAAAATGCGGATCAAAACTATATATAATCGGGCAGTTTACCACACATTTTTATGCCCGCGGAATGCCGTGGTGTTTTAGAGTGGCTCTTGTTTTGTCGACACAACCACAGTGTAAATTGATGACAATTAAATTAATAAAGCAAAACATTTTAAATATGCCCGTACCGGTCATGGATTGATTATTTTGCACTACAGAAAATTCATTTTTCGTTGAAAAAGTCGGCTCTTTCAACAAGTGGTGTTACCGCGGCGACTGTTCGACGTGGATTTCGAAGCGGTGAAGGCGGGTGAATATGAGTATTTGATTTACTGATATAACCAACTTTATATGTAATTCCATTGTATGAAGTAAAATTGTACTATACGGATTTTATAACAGATATCAAGATTTTTCTATCGGCTATAACCAGTTCGCAAGATTGCAAAATTACGTATCAAAATTAAATACATCAGTCAGCTTATCTCATATTTTTATGTCCACAGATCGCCGTGGTATTTTAGAGAAGTAATGTTTTTATTTTGACGTAAGAAGTCGCAACCGCTAATTACGTTCGACACAATTAAATTAATAAATAAGGACATTTTCGAATTTCGTGGTTGTCATGGATTGAATAATTTAGGCAACAGAAAAAAATTATTATATGCTGAAAAGGCGGCTCTTTTAACCAGCATGTAATCGCCCTGACTGTTACACACGGTAATTGGAATATCCGATTTTGAAAACCCTCCCTTTTGAAAGTCCTGGCTGCGCGCCTGATTACGTAACACCATGGTTCTCAAACTGGGCGTCGCAACGCCCAAGTGCGTCGTTTCAATATTGATAGGGCGTCGCAAAACTTTTCTTCTTTTGCGGATTTATACCTGCGGTGCGTGGAAAAAGTCAAACTTTTCGTTATTCTCGTTTAAATCATACTTGAGAACTGAATATATCAATGTAATAATTATAGTAACGATCGAAAATAACAAGCGCCCGTGCTTGAATAAGGGCCGGTTTGAATAAGGACCCGGTTAGTGAGTTGATTGAAAAAAACATGGGCCCGGGCTATAAAACGAGCAAATACGGTATCTATCCATCATCGTTGGGAAAGACACGGGTAAGGTTGCCACTTCTGGATACATTTTTTTTTTCGAATCGAATCTCAAATCAAAAATTTTCGAATCGAATTTTTCCGAATCTGATTCCATTAGGCTTTCTTTTATTGCATGCGTATGTTTGCTCACAAGAAAACTCAAATCTAGGAAAGAAATATGGAATACGCTATATAGCAAGGATGATAAGGGGTTTTCAGTGAATAAGCCACACTTATTTTCATCTTGATAAAAAAATGTAGGTCATAGATACCACTAATAAATACATTGATGAAAAACTTGCTGTTGCAACTTATCTTTGAGTCTTACAATACTGAGTTATTATTGTGTTATACTTGTTTCAGGACTGAGGCAATTTGATGAAATTCATATGAGAAAATAAGCAGGGAACAGTTGTACTGTTGTGTCATAAACACAGTAACAGCACTGCTTTCCCTTGTCCCATACCAATATATGTGACCGTGGTATTTCACTTCTTGTTAAATTGAATTAAGGCCGGCCCTATTTTCGATTCTTCATCTTCAAAATTTTAGTGCAATATTTTATATTTATGCTAACAGCATAGAGTAATACGACAAAAACATTTTAATTGGATCTGAAATACTATATTGGGAAATGCTTACAAGAATATGATTGAAGACAATAAAATTAACCGCGATTAAATTAAATTAATTTCGATAAAAACAATCGTTCATCCGACTACGATTGCTAACAAAAATTTCCATAAATATTAGAGACAATATAATTTGTGCTAACAGCGTTATTGGCTAATTCGGGCTTCATTATTAACGTGGACTACGTTTAATTTCGTAATTCAGAAAGTCCAAATGTGCATAATGGACGCCGCGCTAACGAGCGATAATTGGTTGACGCTTTATCTCCATCAAACATGGTCGCTGGGGCTAAATTATGACGACATTCGCACATTATGCTTGGTCTGGTATAAAATCTGGCACGTGTTGATGTAAAACAGTGCACAAGTTGCCATTCCTAAAGTATTATTTACTCCCACCTGTCCGTTATGACATTTGCTAGAAATAATCCGAAATGTTTTATTCCCACTTGTATCGCGCTCACAAAATTAAAAGTAAATACTACTTTTTTTTGTAACAGCTGAAAAAAAGACGTGTATGTACTATTACATTATGTCCCCCTGATTTCGTTTACCGCCACTCGAATGGAAGTTTGACAAATGCAAACAAAATAAATATATATTTTAGGATGAGAAACATGATTGTCAATTAACATTGCCGGCCGATGAACTCATTCAATAATAGTTTTCTCCAAATGTACGCGAAATATTGCTCTCAGAATAAAGTTTAAATTAAATTTCAATCAAAATTAAATATTATCTAGACGTCGGTAGCTGATATTTATCCAATCATGCCAGGACGTACAATAACTTAGTCGCAGCGCAGGTGTGCTGTTGCAAATTTTCATCAAAATTGTCACGAATTTTCAGGTATACGATCCATTTAAATACGCGCGTAATAGAAACTTGGGCTATTTAATGGAAAATTGAACTCGCAGTTTGCTGGAAATTACACCACACATTATCTCGAGTGATGCGTAAAAGAGTGTTGTGTCGAACTTGAAACAAATGACAGCAAACAAGTAAAAAGTTAATCACGTAAAAATTTTCAAAAATTTTCGTTCCGTGATTTGGTGCCATTTGGAGTGCGCATAAACGTATTCGGCAATTTTAACGCCGCCGAAAACAACGATTAACAAAAGTTCAATGTATTTTATTTTGGTGTTACTTGGAGTGCCGCATAAACGCATTCGGCAGTTTTAACGTCACCGAAAACAACAATTAACAAATGTTCAATGTTTTTCTCTCAGTCCCGTAATTTGGTGTTATTTGGAGTGCGCATAAACGCATTCGGTAGTTTTAACGCCGCCGAAAACAACGATTAACAAACGGGCAATGTTTTTTTCGGTCCCGTAATTTGGCGTTATTTGGAGTGCCGCATAAACGCACTCGGCAGATTTAATTAAAGCCGCCAAAAACGAAGTTCTAACAAACGTTCAATGTTTTTTTTTTTTTGGTTAATCGCTCTCTTTTTCCGAATCGCGTAAATAAGATTCGAATCGATTCGGAAAAGATGCGATTCGAATCGATCCGATTCGTGAATCCAAAAGTGGCATCCCTAGACATGGGATTGAATAATATTGCAATCGTATAAATTCATCATCAGAACTATTTAATGGATGGTTTACCTGAGCACCAAGTCCCATCATCACCTTTCACATAATAATCAGCAGCACAGGTGCAATTATAACCTCCATGTGTGTTGGTACATTTTGCTCTGGGATGACAATTATGCTTTCCCGTCCGGCATTCATCAATATCAGTACAATTTTCTCCGTCAAAACCTTTTTTACAGCCACATGAATATCCTCCAACTGTATTTGAACAATTTGAACAAGGCGGAAGATCATTCCAACATTCGTTAATATCAGTACAATTGAAGCCATTGCCTGTGAAACCTTCTTTACATTGACATGAATATGTTCCGTTTGCAGAATCGATACAAGTTGCGTTCTCGTCGCAATCGTGCTGTCCTGATGTGCATTGGTCAACTTTGAAGCAATAGGTATTTATTTCTCTGAGAGTTTGATTGCATTGACAGCGATTGTTTACAAATGAACAGTTGTACAAAAGACGAGGACAAGTAACGTTGTCATAATTGTTGACGGTATAGATAAAAGATTGACCCCTACCGCCGTACTCTATCCAACCTGTCAATCCTTCATTACAAGTACACATTACGCCACCTGCATAATTCCAACAACCATCACAATTTTCTAATACTTCACATTCATTGATATCATTGCAATTGGTTCCGTTTCCAGTATAACCCGGCTTACAATTGCATTCGTAACTCCCAATGGTGTTGATACATTGAGCCTTGCTGTGACATTTGTTATCAGTCATGCATTCATCTACGTCAGTACAATTGTATCCGTCACCAGTAAAACCATCAATACATAAACATGTATATCCGTCATCAGTAATATTGCAAAGCGTATTGCCACTGCAATTATGTGTTCCACTTAAACATTTGTTTTCTGTTGAACAAAATTAAGAGAATCAATATTTTGCTATTGGAGATGAATAAAATTATATTATGCTATAAGAATGTTTAAATAAATGGATGCGTTATGAGTGGAAACACGCCTAAAAAACGGCGCCAAGTTTAAAATTTTTTTTTTTAAATTCCAGGTTCTGATTATTGCAATTATTAAATCTTCCATGTATATAAAACTGACGTATATAAAAAAAAAAAGTTGTTGATTTTATTGAATTGAAATTTTAGCGTTAGTAAACATTTCACTAAACTAAATTTGTTTTTTAAAGATGGATACTATCACAGAAGATTGTCAAATCTAATTCTATTTACAATCGATTAAGTGTTGAATACAAATACAGTGAATTTTGATGAATGCATATAAATATTAAAATTATTTGAGTAATAGAAACTGAGTAATGCGTAGGTTTATGGCGATAAAGGAAACAGTAATTCTTACCTGGTGGACAACAAAACTTCACATTATAGTTATTGCAGTTTCTATCATTTTGCTCGTAATTCAAACAGTAAATTCCATTGATACTCATATGTACTTTGTCTTCTCCTTCAAGATAATGTTTTCCGTTTGTTACTTGTGCCATTGCATTAGTTGGATTTGCACAAATATTTGTGCTGTGCAATTGATCTTTTATAAGAGAAAGGAGCTCAAAATCCCCTCGACCCATTGCATAGGAGTAAATCTTGTTGTTGTCTCGGTATTCATATCCAATATCAGCATCGATCCATTTTGTCCAAGAATTTCCTGGGCATCCTATAAATGAACAAAAGAATAAACTTATAAAAGTATGTCAATGCTGAAGCAGTCATTTTCAACGGCAACTAACGAATCAACTTGAATGATTCATTCCTGAAAATATGTCAAAAATTCAATTGAAAGTATCTTAGAATTGATTGATGAAATACAAATTATTCACACAGGTAACAAGTTTTTTTTTACTAAAAAATGAAATCATTTTTGTCATTCATAACAAGTTTTCATTGCGGAAGATATAACATCGAATAATATTGCTTTTTGAAAATTCTTCAGCGTGAGAAAAGTTAAGCATACTCATTTGATAAATAGCTACCTGAGCACCAAGTCCCATCATCACCTTCCTCATAGTAGTCTGCATCACAGGTGCAGTTATAGCTTCCATAAGTGTTGGTGCATTTTGCCCTGGGATGACAAATATGCCTCCCCGTCTGGCATTCATCAATATCAGTACAATTTTCTCCGTCAAAACCTTTTTCACAGCCACATGAATATCCTCCAACTGTATTTGAGCAATTTGAGCAAGGAAGAAACTCACTTGAACATTCATTAATATCAGTACAATTGAAGCCATTGCCTGTGAATCCTTCTTTACATTGACAGGTATATGTCCCATTTGCAGAATCGATACAGGTTGCGTTCTCGTCACAATCATGCTGCCCTGATGTACATTGGTCAACTTTGAAGCAATAAGTATTTATTTCTCTGAGAGTTTGACTGCACTGACAGCGATCGTTTTCAAATGAACAGTTGTAAAGAAACCGAGAACAAGTAATGTTGTTATAACCATAGTGGTGTTGTGTGAAATATTGATCATTCCCGCCATACTCTACCGAACCCGAGTATCCTTCATTGCAAATACATTCTACTCCGCCCGCATTTTTCCAACAAAAATCACAATTTCCTAATTTTTCACATGCATTAATGAGATTGCAGTTGATCCCATTCCCAGTGTAACCCGATTTACACTTGCATTCGTAACTTCCAGGGGTGTTGAAACATGGAGCATTGCTGTGGCATTTTTTATCAGCAGACATGCATTCATCTACATCGATACAATTGTATCCGTCACCAATGAAACCGTCATTGCATGAACATTCATATCCACCATCAGTGTTATTGCAAACTGAATTGATACTGCAATTATGTGTTCTTCTTAAGCATTCGTTTTCTGATACAAAAAATGTGAAACAGACGATTAACTTCGGAAATATTAAAAATAAATTCGAGTTAAAAGCACTTGTAAACTGATACACGTTGATCATTAGAAACATGTGCTAACAAGATGGACATATTTCAGACCGAACAAGGTATATTTGAATATTATGAAAGATAATTATGTTATGTTTATGTTACTTATGTTATCTTCTCAATATGTTACTAAAGTGAATACCTGAATAACCCTGTGTTAGATATATCTTACAAACGTTTTGAAATTACAAGGTAATTTGAAATAAAGTCAACCGTGCACTTTTGTACTTTGTTCAAATGAAACAATGGTACATATTTTATTACAGAAATAAGATTAAAAATTGTATATTTATTGCACGTCAAGTTTTTATATACTTCTAAGTTTCGCCCCTGGCGATGCCAGCAAGGCATGCTGTGTACGACGCAGAATAAAAATTGCCATTTCTTTGTTGATGCCTCACTGCGTAAAGATTCCGGCTTTTCACAATCAGAGGTGAAAAACTACCCGTTAGATTACAGAGGTGGGCAAATTACGGCCCGCGGGTCGGATCCGGCCCACCAAAGTGTTTCATCCGGCCCGCTTATTCCTGCTCAAATTAGGACTATAGTTTGCATGGATATAAATTGACGTTTAAAGATCGATAAAAATCAAGAGATCCCGATTGTTACATTGTGCTTCTTATTATTATATAATCGTTAGCCCAGCTGTTGAAATAAACTATACTTTATGTATTAAAATGTGTTTTATTCACACTTTTTCATATTGAGTTTAGATCCTCCGGCCCAGTAATCAAGTCTATTATGTGTAACTGGCCCACTCAGTAAAGTAATTGCCAACCTGAGTTAAAAGAAGGAAATAGTAAATTCTGGTGTAATCAAAATTTATCTAACAATATTCTAAAGCAGCGGTGTGCATACAGCGGGTCGCTGGCCATGTGTGGCCCGCAAAAAAAATTATGCGGTCCGCGGGGAATTGCCAATTTTGGATGGTGTACCCGAGAAAAGAGTTTTTAGTTTAGTTTATCTGGTAAGTGCAAATTTATTCGTTTTACCTCACAATTTCTTCCAGGTCCCCTTATAATGCGAAAAGATCAATAGCAAAAATAAACATTTCTTTTTGTGCTTGCTACTAGAAATGCTGTCTTAAATAAAGGTGCGGCCCGCGGCTTCATCCAGTTATTTGTATCTGGCCCTCCTCTAATAAAGGTTGCACACCCCTGTTATAAAGTACAGTATTGCAAAACTTCAATAGATTCAAAATCATACCTTTACATGCAAAGGTTGAATTGCTCAAAACGGAATCAAATCCAGTAGCGCAGCGGCAGATAAAAACGGATGAATTCAAGGGTACACAATCGGCATCATTCCCGCACACTTTTTCGAGGCAAGCTTCCGTTGAGTTTTTTACTGCGTACAAAATGTGGCAAAAAATGAAAAAAATCAGAAGTTAGAATAAACACATATCAAACATCAATCTAGAGGTGCATTAGGGGAAATTTGATTTTGGGGAAATTTTATTTCATTCCGTTTGAAGGAGTGTGGGAGTTTGAAAATATAAGGAACGAATACTTTTTAATTGAAGTTGATAAAATGATTTTTTTTTAAATTTTATTGTTATTTTAAAGATACCTTCTGTAGCATTGGGTTCATCAGAATCTCCAGATCCACTTATTTCATAATTTCTCATCTCATTTGTCATGTTGTGAATAGCTTTCAAAGCTTCTGCTTCAGAACTGAAATATTTGATAGTGTCATTCCCGGTTGCATCTGTAATAAACAAACCATTTATAAGTCAATATTGAATACGAAACTTCCCACGATTTAGACTCTAGCGAGGCCCTCTAATTCAGAGGTTAGCAAATGGCAATAAAAGGACGCATTCTTCAAGTGACATCGGTTTGTGAATTATCATTAACATTTTGTGCATTTTTGAAAGCACTTAAGCTCAAGAGCGACGTGCATATAGAATGCTCTCTTTATCTTTATATTTTACTTCAAAACTAATTCAATTTTTGTCTTACCTTTGTAGGCAAATCCATATGCGTCAACCTTCAACGTTGAACCTACTTGACAAGTAACCAAATTAAAACAACAAGAAATAACATCTTCAACTTCTCAAAGTTTGCTCTTTTAGATATTGCTGTTATACTACTAACGAGTTTTCGGAAATATCTGCATTATATGCCGTCCTCCTTTCATAAGTGAATACCACGCTAAAGTTAGAGTTTTAGTAAAAATAGCAATCGGTTTTCTTTCCTGTCATAATGTGTGTGGGTGATAATGTATTCAGTTATTCACTGCTGATAAAAATATAAATTGTGTTGTTGATTAAGAACCTAAGTTCAAAATTATCCAACGGATATTTACCTTCACAAGTTACTCCATCTCCTGTAAACCCGGTTTTGCAAGCACATCTGAAGCTTCCGAGAATATTCGTGCATGTAGCACTTGTATTGCAGTTGTCCGTTTTTAATGTGCATTCATCATCGTCTGAATAAAGTGTTGAAATGAAAAAAAAGATGCAGCGATGTATCGATATAGGAAATATCGGCTATTTTGTCAATACAATATGGTAAATTTATACAAAACATGTCTGGTATACCGTTTTCAGCTTTTTATCACACTCATTTTACACAATTTTCAATTCCCCCCTTTTTTTATCAACCACACTAAAATTTACCCGTGCACGTAAATCCGTTTCCAGTGAAGCCGGAATTGCATTCACAAGCGAATGAGCCATCGTTGTTGGTACAAGCAGCATTCGTGTCACACGGGCTGGTAACGCACTCGTTCTGATCTGCATATAAAAAATAAAAATCAACACATTTGTTATGTATAGATAGATGTACTATCAATTATTATGAAAAAACGATACTTGATGGTATGTCTATTTTTTAAATTTTTGTTCAAATAAAAATGTTCAATGGGATATTACGTAATATCTGTCGGTTTTGGTTTATTCGTTAATATCAATATTTTCTCTCTAATTTAAATTTATATCTACAAAATTTTGTAACTAGGAAAAGTTCGTCTTTTCCATGGTAGCATATGAGAGTAGTGATCAAAATTCAAACTCCGCCCCCCAAAATAAACCAAAAAGAAGTTCGCAAAGCTATATGCTAAATCGGAAGTATCCTTTTATATGCAGTTAAGCTCATGTAACATTATTTCATGTCTAGAACATTAATTAAAGTGAACACCTTTTGATGTCTTATCTTTGAATTTAATTCAACAATATATTATTTTCTCAATACTTTGACTAATTCATAATCAACGTCTGGTTAAAAGTAAAGCATACCGGTACACTCGATTCCATTTCCAGTATACCCAGTCTTGCATGTGCAAGTGAAACTACCGAAAGTGTTTCCACATGTTGCATTCGAATGGCAATTGTCCGTCTTGAGTATACACTCGTCATTGTCTAAAAATAAAACAGAAAAGCATACATATAACTATTCAAAAACGATTGTCGCATAAGTGGGACTAGCGAAATTGGAATTTAACAGAATGGATATTTCTATAACGCTATGTCGCTGACTTGATGACGTCACAGTCTTCCGCGATCCCTTATCGATTGCTATGAATCTCCTATGTGTATAATTACATTTTTTAATGCCGTTATACACTTTTGACAGTTTTTCGTGCTTTAGTTTCTGTATTGAATCTTGCATGATAGAAATAAAACATTTAAATCTGAATCTGCTTGTACGAATTGTCCCATTTCGGATGAAATGAAATTCACGTCGAAAGTGTATTTGTGTATTGTTCTCTCGTTTTTTGTTTCACTGCAATTATACAAAGCAGCATACTGTAACTGTGTACATTTCTAATTTCACCTGCGCAGTTAAATCCGTCTCCCGTAAACCCGGTTTCGCAAGCACAAGTGAAACTTCCATCATTGTTTGTGCATTTTGCAATTTTGTGACAATTGTCTGTGTCAATTGCACATTCATTGATATCTTCAAAAGTAATAAATAAAAATTATATGACATACAATATAAAATCACAGCAATGAGTGAAATTTGCAACCTGACATTGACCCTTGACCTGACCCTTGTATTGACAGATACTCACTCTTTCAATGGTGCTAGAGTGAAACGCATGAATATAATATATTTGCCTTGTATATAAATTTTCATTTCCCTGCAAAACTGGCTAATAGAGGGAAATGAAACATTTCATAAAATCACTTCACCTGTACAAGTTGTTCCAGTCCCAATGTATCCTGTTTTGCACGTGCATGTAAAACTCCCGTTGTTGTTAGTACAATCTGCTTTATCGTGACAGATGTGTGTATAGCTTGTACATTCGTTGATATCTGACAACAAAAATTGCTGAAAAGTTAGAAAAATCAACTTCAATGAATTACTTTACCCAAAAATATGACTTTACCGTTACAAGTTACAAGTCCGTCTCCTGTGTAACCTGTCTTGCAAGCACATACGTAACTTCCGATGGTATCGGTACAATCCGCTTGAGCGCTGCAGGCATTCGTAGTTGGTGAATTACATTCTTTTATATCTGATTATAAGAAAGATTAAAAATAAATACTATGACGTAACAATACTTAGAATATATCTTTTCATGAACCCATAAAAAATATAATATTGCAATTTACGGACTATAAAAAAGCCAAATTTAGAAAAGAAAAGTTTTGTCACAGTATTTCTTTAGGGTTTTTGGCAGGCCTGATATTAATAAGCATACCTGTACACGGTCCAAACAAAGTATATTTGGATATTATCTAATATTATTATGTTATGTTTATGTTAACTATGTTTACTTATCAATATGCTACTAAACTGAATATATGAATAACCCTGTGTTAGGTATAACTTATAAACGTTTCAAATTTAAAACTGCGGATTTATTAACAAAGGCGGAATGCAAGACACAAGAGAATGCGAAATAGTTACAGCACTATATTTAATAATTGTTATGAGAAATCTGTAACGAGTGTAGATGTCAGCATTTCATAGTTGATGACCTTAACTGAAGGAGAACGAGATAATGTGTATTTAATATGCAATGCCTCACTGCGTAAAGTTTCCGGCTTTTCATAATGAGAGCGCGAAATTGAAAAACTACCCGTTAGAAAATGGAAGCAATGAATTCCCGCGTCATCAACATTTAATTCTAAATAAGCACAGGAGCATGTCTCACCATATTCGAAAGTATTGCAGAATTTCGAAAAGATTCAAAATCATACCTTTACATGCAAAGGTTGAATTGCTCAAAAAAGAGTCAAAGCCAGCGGCACAACGGCAGATGAAAACGAATGAATTCAATGGTACACAATCGGCATAATTCCCGCACACTTTTTCGAGGCAAGCTTTCGTTGAGCTTTTGACTGCGTACAAAATGTGTCAAAAAATAAAAGATTAGAAGTTAGAATAAACATATATAGAATGTCAATCTAAATACTAGCGCCTTCATAATTTTTTTTATTTCGATAGTTTGAATGTTTATGGGACGAATACGTTGACCTTCTGAATGAACTATTCAATTAAAGAAAAGCAAGCGGTTTACAAAAACAGTTTACATTGTTGTAAACTGCTTGTATGAGGTAGTCTGACTCTGGTCGGACGAAACTTTACAAAAATAAATTTGTGTTATTGTGCTGCTGGACTCTTTAATTGGATAGAATAGACTTGTTTATTCCAGCTACTGCATTCTTGCAATATGCGCATACGGAACCACCAGCATAAAGGCATAGAAGAGACTCGCGCAATCCAACTCAAAATTACTTCTAAATAAAATAATTCTTTTTTTCGAAATTTTTTGTTATTCCAAAGTTACCTTCTGTTGCATTAAGTCCATCACTATCTCCAGATCCACTTATTTCATAAATTGTCATCTCATTTGTCAAGTTGTAAATAGCTTTCAAAGCTTCTGCTTCAGAACTGAAAAATTTGATAGTTCCATTCCCGATCGCATCTGTGATAAACAAACTCTTTATGATTCAATATTGTATATACAAGCTAGTATGGATGGGACGAGTCCGACATTACAGACATTACAGAGATTCGACGAATCCGCGTATTAGGCCAGGGACTCGAATCGAATTCTTCGAGTCCGTGACGTCACAATGCTAAACTAGAAAAACACGTTTTTGACCATACTACAGCATCGTGCGCTCACGAACATACGTCGTAGCTCATTTTTTGCCTAATGGTTCCGCAGATAGCTGTTGAATCAATTTAAAAAAAATTTTTTTTTGGCGGTCATAATACAAACGTAAACATGAGTCAATGTTTTTAGCCCACCATCTTGCGTCAATTCTGCGCGCCTATTTAAAAATTCTTACATGTAAATATGGAAAATGAAAAATATTTTGACTACAATGCTTTCCTATAATTCCAGATATTTCTAGCCTTAAATTTACTATATCGCGTGCGCAAAATTGGTAGAGAGTTGCCACTCATTGTCAATACAATGCTCGCAATTCAGTAGTTTATGTAAACGTTCTAAAACGCTCCATGCTTTCCGTTGCTCCCTTTTCGAGAAAGGATTGCACGTAAAAAACTCGATTTTAGTGAGATATTGATGAGCTTCCCCCTTGGGTTGATCCTGAGCATGTTTTATATTTATTTACGCCAATCGAAAACTCAAAATATTGCGTTAACACATATTTTGTTGTGTATACCACATGTATACCAAAAAAGATAGATAGTTTGAAGGCGACACGCGCATCATTGTTATAAGCTATCAGTGGTTTTGGATATTGTTACAAATCTAACCGTGAATTTCGACTAGTTAAGGTATGTAGTGAGATTTATAGAAGTGAAAGTACAAACATAGGCGTAAATTAGTAAAAACAGAATTTATTATAGACTCGGTAAAAATGACGTGTACACGAAATCGAATCCGAGTCAAAAAATTGCCTGGATTCGACTCGAATCCGAGACCGAGTTCCAACCCAATCCATACAAGCTAGTAGACAAAAGATAAATGAAACTTTCCGCGATCCAGATTTGCGCGGCCATCAAATTCAGAGGTTGGCAAATTACACTTAAAGAACGTGTTCTTCAAGAGACATCGATTTGTAAATTACAATTAAAATTTTTTATGCTTTTAAAAGCATTTAAGCTTAAGAGCAACAACGGCTCTTGTTACATCTCTTTTTTAATTCGAAAATTCAAAACTTCTTTTATTTCTGACCTACCTTTGTAGGCAAATCCATATGCGTCAATCTTCAACGTTGAACCTACTTGACAAATAACCAAAATTAAAACAACAAGAAATATCATCCTCAACTTCTCAAAGTTTTGCTCTTTTAAATATTGCTGTTATACTACTGACGAGTTTCGGAAATATTTTGCATTATATGCCGTCCTCCTTTCATAAGTGAATACCACGCTACACTTTGAGTTTCAGTAAATATAACAATCGGTTTCTTTTCCTGTCATAATGTGTGTGGGTGATAATGTATTCAGTTATTCACTGATGATTAAAATATAAATTATGTTGTTGATTAAGAACCTAAGTTCAAAAGTAATTATCCAACGGATATTTACCTTCACAAGTTACTCCATCTCCGGTAAACCCGGTTTTGCAAGCACATCTGAAGCTTCCGAGAATATTCGTGCATGTAGCACGTGTATTGCAGTTGTCCGTTTTCAATGTGCATTCATCATCGTCTGAATAAAGTGTTGAAATTAAAAAAAAGATACAGCGATGTATCGATATAAGAAATATCGGCTATTTTGTCAATACAATATGGTAAATTCATACAAAACATGTCTGGTATACCGTTTTCAGCTTTTTATCACACTCATTTTACACAATTTTCAATTCCCCTCTTTTTTATCAACCACACTAAAATTTACCCGTGCACGTAAATCCGTTTCCAGTGAAGCCAGAATTGCATTCACAAGCGAATGAGCCATCATTGTTGGTACAAGCAGCATTCGTGTCGCACGGGCTGGTGTCGCACTCGTTCTGATCTGCATATAAAAAATTAAATCAACACATTTGTTATGTATAGATAGATGTACTATCAATTATTATGAAAAAACGATACTTGATGGTTTGTCTATTTAAAAAAAAAATTTTAAATGAAAATGTTCAATGGGATATTACGTAATATCTGTCGGTTTTGGTTTATTCGTTAATATCAATATTTTCTCTCTAGTTTTCAATATATATCTACAAAATTTTGTAGCTAGAGAAAGTTCGTCTTTTCCATGCAATTTGCAACCTGACATTGACCCTTGACCCGACCCTTGTATTGACAGATACTCACTCTTTCAATGGTGCTAGATTGAAACACATGAATATAAGCCCAATTGCATATCAACAATTGAGCATAGCTTTATTTGCCTTGTATATAAATTTTCATTTCACTGCAAAACTGGCAAATAGAGGGAAATAAATCATTTCATAAAATCACTTCACCTGTACAAGTTGTTCCAGTCCCAATGTATCCTGTTTTGCACGTGCATGTAAAACTCCCGTTGTTGTTAGTACAATCTGCTTTATCGTGACACATGTGTGTATAGCTTGTACATTCGTTGATATCTGACAACAAAAATTGTTGAAAAGTTAGAAAAAATCAATTCCAATGAATTACTTTACCCCAAAATATGGCTTTACCGTTACAAGTTCTTCCGTCCCCTGTGTAACCTGTCTTACAAACACATACGTAACTTCCAATGGTATCATTACAGTCAGCTTGAGCGCTACAAGCATTCGTAGTTGGTGAATTACATTCTTTGATATCTGATTATAGAAAAATATAAAAATAAATACTATGACGTAACAATACTTAGATGTATCTTTACATGAACCCATAAAAATTATAATATTGCAGTTTACGGACTATAAAAAAGCCAAATTTTAGAAAAGCCAACTTTATTAACGCAAGTGCCGGTATCACCACAAGCGTAAGTTCCTACAGCACACTCGTCAATATCTGAAACAACATAAAATTTGAAAATGAATTTAGCAACAACGTTTTAGTTTTCAAGAATTAGCATAGTACAAATAACCAACATTTTAAACAAGCTAACCGGAATAATTTAAGATGCTGAGCCTTGCTATATTTTATATCAAATGTTATAAACAACACAAATTCAACGTACCAACGCAGGTGGTTCCATTTCCAGTATAAAATGTTTTGCATGCACAAGTAAAACTTCCTACTGTATCTGCACAATCTGCGTTCGTGTCACAATTATCCGTATTTCTGCTGCATTCGTTGATATCTTAAAAATTAATTAAAACACTTTTGACCACAAAATTTTTTTTTCATCTGGTATGGGCAGTGGTGAGATTCAATTTTTTTGTCAGTCGGTTCCTTCACAAAAGTCTTTTTTTTCAGCCGGTTCTGTTACAAACAGAACATTGACAGTAAGCAGCAATGCTAACCGGTTCGCTGATCTCATAAAATCCCGCGAGACGGTTCTATAGAACCGATGCGAACCGGCTGAATCCCACCACTGGGTATGGGTTATTCCAACAATCAATGCAGGTGAGAAGCTTTTGGACGCGAAGCGTATACATATGGATCGTTTTTCTATTTTGTTGTTTCTTTTGGGGAGATTGTTGTTATCAGAAAAAATATCGCAACCGATAAACCAACTGATTTCAACTTTTCCTCTTTCAAAAAGTTTCCTGATTTTCAATTTTTTCTTGAGTTTTATAGGACCTGCCATTTCATCCATTAAAAGTTCCCGTTAATCTTAATTTCTTCTGTCGCTCACTTTATTCTGTCACGCTTGTCTGCCTTCGACACGCATGTGCGCCAATATTTTCTGCAAACTCAGCGCTCATCTTTGGTTCTACCCTTATCAATGCGCGACCTACATGTACATATATTTGAGCATTTTCGTCATGCTTTAAATTAAAGCTCAAACCATATTGCTATTTACTAACAGAAATGTTATAAAATGAAATGTATTAATGTAATTATTACTTTGATTACTTACTAGAGCAAGGACCATCTATTCCATTTTCGTACCCGGTGTTGCAGGTACAGTCGTATCCACCTGGCTTGTTTGCGCATGTTCCGGTTAGAGCACACAGATGGGTATTGACCCCATCAGGACACTCGTTGATATCTGTATTCAAGATAACATAATTTTCAATTTATTTTGAATAATCGGTTTTCAAAGATTTCGACGTATCATACATGATGTTGCACACCTATGGAAAAATCAATAATAATAATTGAATGCATGTGCATGCCTGTATTTTATTACTCTAAGAGCCCAGTATAAAATAGAAGGAAACTTATAAATACATGCTTAGAGATTAGGCATTTTCCAAACAAATAAATTAAAAATAAATTCGAGCTAAAAGTATTTGTAAAATGATACACGTTGATCAGTAGAAACATGTGCCATCAAGATGGACATATCTTAGACGGAACAAAGTATAATATTATATATATTATCAAAGATACTTATGTAATGTTTATGTTAACTATGTTATCTTATAAATATGCTACTAAACTGAATACATTAAGAACCCTGTGTAAGATATATCTTACAAACGTTTCCGATTTAAAACTTCGGATGCAATTAAAAATGACGGAATGCAAAACACACGCAAAATTCGAAATAAAATCAACTGTGTACTTTTTTACATTGTTTGAATGACAGTGGTACAATGATGCATATTTCATTACAAATAAAATTGAACAAAATAATAGATCAAGTATATGAGATTGCGCGGTTTTAGGTTTTGGGACAACGGGAGTTGTAGAAAATAAAAAGGTTTCTACAGTTGAACTAATTGAAACGATGAATAAAGTCGGATACTTGCTATCATAAAGTTCGTTCTCACGCACATATATATATATATATTAGGGTTGGGAATGGCTGGTGAACCGATTTCAGATGGTTAACGGTTACGATTTATTTTAACCGTTAACTGACATCTCAGGTACAAATCATCTTTATACCGTACAATTTCTTCAAATATGACTACGTCAACGCATATTTATCTTTTGTGGCGTTTAATTCAAAAGAATATTACTAACTGTGTGGGTAAGGACTAAATAAACCGAAGTACCAAGATTGCTGATTATGGAAATTTGACAACGATGAATTCAGAATTAGTTTTCGGTCGATTTCGAAATACATATTGTATATTGTTTACGATTTAATTGCAAAATCGGATATTCAATGTCATACATCAAGTGCGCGGTTGATGCTGTTTTTTTTTACGAGATCTCGAAATATACTTGCAAATCAAACACTGAAAATTTGTCACATAAATGACGTTTAACAACGGAATCGGGGTTTCACAAATACTTCCATATGCCCGAACCACGCTGCCTATCTCTGGCAGCAGAGCAATCATGAAACTATCTCGAATCGTAAATAATTTTGAGCGATACCGGGATAAGAACACGCGAAATTGTGTTATAGAATTGTGACATGACAAGCTGACATTATAAATTATTACGTCAAACGTCACGCTGCGATTAACCGGTTAATTTCACCCGGTTAAAGTGTTATCCCTAAAATTCCCAGTCCTAATATATATATATTTAAACTAATAAGGTCAAGTTTGTATATACTTCTGTTTCGTCTCTGTCGATGCCAGCAAGGCATGATTTGTACGACGCAGAATAAAGATTGCCATTTCATTGTTGATGCTTCACTGCGTAAAGTTTCCGGCTTTTTTTACAAGCAAATCGCAAGAAGAAAAAAAAACTGCCCCGTTACAGAGGTAGGCAAATTACGGCCCCGAGTGCCGGATACGGCCCACCAAAGTGTTTCATCCGGCCCTTAACGATACTTCGAGAATACCATTTTTGCCTTTTACGAGAAAGTGGGTACTTTACTAACATGTTAAACGATAAAGAAGTTTGGGGTATGGCTCCCCAGAAGCCTATTGATTTTGGATTAATTATGTCGTATAATTAGCGAGTTATTAATTAATTAGTGATGGGACACGCGGTGTCGCTATTGAGTCAAAGCTAAGGATACACGCCGCTAGATCGATAAGTGGGCGGTCTCATTTCGCTATCTCGTTATATATTGTTAGCTGTTGAAATAAACTTTATTTTCATTTAATAAAATGTAATTTATTCACACTTTTTCATATTGAGTTTAGAGCCTCCGCCCAGTAACCAAGTCTTTTATGTGTAACTGGCCCACTCAGTAAAGTAATTGCCAACCAGAGTTAAAAGAAGGAAATAGTAAATTCTCGTGTCATCAAAATTTGACTCGGAATAAGCACAGGAATACATCTATCAATATTCGAAAGTATTGCATAACGTCAAGAGGATTCAAAAGCATACCTTTGCATGTAAAGGTTGAATTGCTCGCAACGGAGTCAAATCCAGTGCCGCAACGGCAGATGAAAACGGATGAATTCAATGGCACACAATTGGCATCATTCCCGCACACTTTTTCAAGGCAAGCTTCCGTTGAGTTTTTGACTGCGTAGAAGGTGGCAAATGTTAGTTAGAAGTTAGACTAAACACAAATCAAATATCATTCTAGGACGTTCAATGAGAGATATTGGACTTTTGTAAATTTTATTTATTCCGATAGTTTGAAAATATATGGGACGGTGACTTATTAAATATAGTTGGTAATTTTTTCTTTGAATTTAGATGCTATTTTAAAGGTAACTTTAAAATTACTTTACCTTCTATTGCATTGAGTCCATCAGTATCTCCAGACCCACTTATTTCATAATTTGTCATCTCATTTGTCATGTTGTAAATAGCTTTCAAGGCTTCTGCTTCAGAACTGAAAAATTCGACAGTTCTATTCCCGTCCGCATCTGTGATAAACAAACTCTTTATAAGTCAATATTGAATATATAAGTCGATTGACAAAAGAAAAATGAAACTTTCCACGACTTAGACTCTAGCGAGGCCCTCTAATTCGAAAGTTGGCAAATGCATTTAAAAGACGCATTCTTTAAGTGACATCGGTTTGTGAATTATCATTTACATTTTGTAGATTTTTGAAAGCACTTAAGCTCAAGAGCGACGTGCATATATGATGCTCTCTTTATCTTTATATTTTACTTCAAAACTAATTTAATTTTTTGTCTTACCTTTGTAGGCAAATCCATATGCGTCAATCTTCAAAGTTGCACCTACTTGACAAATAACCAAAAATAAAACAACAAAAAATATCATCCTCAACTTCTCAAAGTTTTGCACTTTTAGATATTGCTGTTGTGCTACTGACGAATTTTTGAATATAATTGCATGATATGTCGTCCTCCTTTCATAAGTGAATACCACGCTAAAGTTAGAGTTTTAGTAAAAATAGCAATCGGTTTCCTTTCCTGCCATAATGTGTGTGGGTGATAATGTATGCAGTTATTCACTAATGATTAAAATATCAATTGTGTTATTATCTCAGTGACTTTAAAGCAGTGTTTCCTAACCCGAGTCCGTTTGAATGAGTCCGCAGGGAGCCAGAAATTCACTGCGGGCCGTTTTTGCGAAACTTAACCATGAGCCACGATTTACGTTAGAATTTAAATATAACATAAAAAGCAAGTTTATTCATATAACATTGATCGAGTCAATAATTTCTGGATACTGAATGAGTAGGGCTTGGCATATATTCGAATATTCAACTATTAGAATAGCAATTTATTATTCGAAAATTTGGTAACAGGTGACGCGACAGGTCACTTGCGAGTTGTTTAATCAAACGATTGAATTTAGTCGTTGTTGTTCGAGGAATAATTTTTCTGGTAGGTGTCAATGGTGGCAACCTAAATTTTCTAAATTGAAAAGC